GGCAGTGACCATCAAAGGCAAAGCCCCATGCTGTGCTACAAGAACAAAGTCTGGAAAAGGCATGTGATCAACTGCCATCAATTTGAAATACTTGACCAGAAAGTAATTGACTTCAGCCTACAGGTGGAAAGGGCGAAACTAATAGCATTCACAGGAATATTCCTCTTCTATTGACTGTCCCTCACAACAATGTGGGAAGTTTTAACATTTAAATGAATAAACCCTAGAAAATATATTCAACACCAGTGCAGTTTCTATTTCATCACAAGCATTAGCCCTAGCAGCATATCCCTTGCAGCAAACAGAGCTTTCTGGAAAGGTTGGTCATAACAGCACAAACCCAGTTTTGTAAAACTTGTTTTTGACAACTGTATGCCAATAGTTAAACCAAAGCAGTTGCTTTGGAAACCTGTTTCTGACCAAGTTGTGCTAGCAATGCCAAGTTCTTTCAGTGAGCAGGGAGACCAGGAACATTTGGAGGCTATGCTGAGAACTAGAGACAGAGCTCAGATTGAACTCTCTAGTTCATCTTTCTCTAAGAATGAAAAGGGTTATACTGAGTCATAAAGACACAAGGCCGCATCTATAAATGACACATACCCTCTTTACTGATCATGGACAGTGCAAGAGGTCTTTGAAGCAAATCCATGTATTAGGTAGGTAAATACACAAGATTATTATTTTTTTTTCCTCATTTTTTTCACCTATGTTTAGATTTTGCTTAGATGTTCCCTGAAGCTACCTTTTATTTTCAGGGTATTGCCAGCTGTCAAAGCCCTACATCACTTTAGACTAGAAAACCTTAAAACTTTGTGTGCAGGATTATTTTTCTGCAATTCAGCATTTGAGTATCTCCATAATTGCTCCTAAAAGTAGCAAATTATTCTGCATTAGCTGCACTGCTGTTTGACTGTGGCAAAGCAAGGATCTGTGTGCAAGTATCTGTCAAGAGCAAAGCAAGCTCTCTGGCAGCAGGAAGACAAACAGGAAATCGCATCTCTTTGCTGTCTGTGATAATGTGAACTTGCAATAGGTAATAAAATACTATTTAACAACAGCAAAGTTGGGAAGATACAGCATAAGCAGTAAACTAAAATGACAGGGAAAAACAAACCCTACCTTTTTAAAGGATTCTGTTATGTTTTGAATCCCTTTCTCATGTGGTTTCCTTGTACATATACACACACACTTACAATCCCTCACTTTCACTCCCAATAAGAGCAAAAATAAACATGAAAAATAATATTAAAAAACTCTGTATTCAGTAATATTCACACCAAAGTATATGTATAGATATATCCATTAAAATTATGAACATTTCTAAGTATATTTTATGTATCATACATATATTTATATGTATAATTACATATCCACAGAAGTAGTCTTGCTGTGCTAAAGCCAGCAGTAAAAGCAAAACCAGGTTTCACAATAGGACACCCATATATGAATATGTACTGGCTGTTTGGTTTGTGAATTTATTTACAACTTAACTATATCATAATAAATGCTTACTGTTCTATTGTACAAACGCAATATTAAAGGTTTAGGTTTGTTTTTTTAAAATACAAAGACTGCAAATGAATACATGAAAAAATTACACACCATGTACAGTATTTATAATTTATAAATGCAAAGTTAAGACCTCTTTAAATTATTGCACTTGCATATTTTTTTTTACAAAGATAGTTTATATGTATCATATATATATATATGTGTGTAAATATATATATATATATAAAACAAATTTTCAGCTCACTAAATGTCATAAAGTTGAATGTTGTTACCTTGAAGTTCTTTCCTCTTCACATAACAGCCCAACCTGGATTTTGAATATATATGAATCTACTCAACAAATCAGTTTGATCTACCCTAGAAAGCAGTCTGTTATTTTAGGTTATTTGACAGAGTATACACCCGTATTACAATCGAGCACAGTTTTTGGTCAGAAAGCAAAATAAGAGTTATGATGTGCCTTTGCTAGATTGGGATATATCACAAAGTCTAAATGTGAACTTCTTTGCAGTAGTGTGCAGAGAGCCTTTTCTGTGTTCAGAATGAACAAATTAAATGTTCTGTTTCACAGAACTGTTCCTATATCACAGTGTTTGAGGCAAATGCATTATTTCAAGAGGGTCATAATTGTTTTGAGCATCTAACAATGTCTACTTTTAACATGAATAGTGCTATTTGCTAGCCCTACAATTTTAACACTAAATGCTCTAAATGCAGTCACAGCAAACTGATCACACTGTTCTAAGTTTAAACACATGAAAGAAGCCTGTGCCACATAAAAAGATTAATTCCACATTGCAAGTCCCCTCCAATGTAAATGTTTTATCATATACTCCATCTAAAAAAAAGTATTGCCTTTCTCTAATGTAATAACTAAATGGCCTCTTATGAAAAAAATAAATAATACTGCCGTGAGTTGAACTATTACAGCACAATGTTGAACTATTGTTCAAAATTCATAGATTAATTGTAACAGTGGAGTTTCTGTCAGTGCTGTAATAAAATATGCAACATGTCAGATTAGTATCATGCTATGTCAACTATTTTTCTCATGTAGTGCATACCTTTCAGGCACCATTTCATAAGATATTAGAAATGCTCAAATATGGCTTCAAACAGTCCTTTTGAAGGGAAAAGCAACTGAAATTAGTAACAAAAATGATGCAGTTCTGGGAGTATGAAGTCTAACACTTCTAGGAAAGGAGAGATCTGTTACGTTTTTTTATACATTCTTATTGATCTTGGAAAAGACTGGTTTTAGCAGGACACAAAAGGAAGAAAGAATGGCTTTTGATAGTTTAACTTAATGAGTCAGGTGTCTTAAAAGACCTAGATGTCTTACTGCTCTATTTCTGATTTCATGTCCAAGATTTTTAACAATTAAATCTCAACATGTACTCGAACCATGAAATTTAAAAGTAGCTTCAACGTTTTAATTTTTGGTGGTTTTCACTTTGGTAATGTAGGTATAAGCTTGTTACTACAAAAAATTTACACATCTGAATCTGCACTCTGTAAATGCTAACAGCAGGAAAACAAACCAAACCACAACGACTGGAACCTAACTTTTTATCTCTAATAGACATTATTCTATAGCAAACATATATTTTATGTGATGTGGATTGTTATATGTTAGAAACAACACCTGATTGACTTAAGACATTAATAGAACGACTTATTGTCAATTTGGCAAAATTTTTAGGGAAACGTTCTATTTTTGTTCACTTACAAACTTCAAAACATAAACTGTTACGCGATACTGCCAAATACTTTCAATGGTAAGTAACAGAACTAGTGAAGTTACATTTGTTGTCAATGAGTAAAAGATTAATTAAAAGCTTTCCATAATATAGAGGGATAAGGAGTATTTTTTTAACACTTTTAATATCAGCATTCAAAGAGGGAGAATAACAGTAAATATATTTGAACCATGAAGGAAAAATGTTCCATCCAGTTGTTGGCATATCTGAATTTCAGAGAGGATTTTTGTAGTCACCATAGTTTTGGATAATTATAATGTATGTTAGGAACTGGGGCTTGTGGCTCAAGTACTTAGTGGATGAAAGGTTGCATCTACAAGATTTAGTTAAAACAGAACTGCTAAGGAGTAAAGCAGAGGACACAGCATGAGATACTATTCATTCTACTTTGGTGTAATTGTTTCCTGCTGCATTTTTTTTATTATTCCCAAATAGTTTGCTGTGGTTAATGATGAATTTCTGCATTTAGAGTTGGCAAAGCAAACTGAAAATAATTACATGGCTGCTGTTAGGTAACCTGTATCATACAAATAAGACAACTTTATGTTGAATTTTCAACCTCTGGGGTATCTATGTACTGCAAAGGCTTAGGTGCATTTATACATTATGCAATTACATATCACATACTGTACACATGTACAGATACTGGTATGTGCTCGACCATAACAGAAGGCAAAACTCAGAGAATCAAAGTCAGTTACATGAAACCCAGAAGATGGCTTATTGGAGAAATACAGCTCAACAGACATGAGATGGAAAATGAGAACCTGTGTTCTAAGTCACTACAATTATCTGTTGCAGTTACACACAAGGCCATGTTATTATGGAACCACTACAAGAGTATTACCTGTGAAAAAGAATAGGCTGTATGTGAGGACTCTGTTTTCACCTACTGTGTAGGTCAACATGAAGATTTTTTTTCTCATTATTTTAAACAGAATGATGAAGGCAAATTAATTGCTTTTTTAAGCATATTCTGTACAATTGCACTAATTTTTTAAAAGTGGCATTAAATTTAAGGTCTTAAAGCCTGTGCATAAGATTGTAAGGCTGAAGCCTAAATCAGCACAGAACTGTAAACACAGTATTTTAGAGTACTTGTCTTCAGTCAGCTATTCTTTCATTGAGAAAGGCAGTTCTAAGCTTGGAAATTTTGCTAAAGTAGAGAAAAAAAGCAAACAGACAAAGTTTCCTAATTTCACTCACCTTGGGGTGGGGGAAGAGAGTCCTAGAAGACATGCAGTGTTACTGTTCAACACAAAGGCTAATCAATGCAATAACACTTTTGATTTACTGTGACGATACCATAATCCCTCTTACCAGACCTGACATTTCTGACAAGGCTTTTGTTCCCAGTAGATACTTCAGGTATGTCTCTAGTACCTTTTGAAATACAACTCAGCAGGTGGAAATAAAAATTATTACTTCACTTAATTGTGAGCTAAGTAAGGAAATCTTTAGTGTCACATTTAAATTTTAATCTGATACTTTTGTCACTATGGATACAAAAACTCCAACGTGAAAGTCTCTCTCATATCAGAGATAAATATCCCGTACTTTCAGTATCTTAAGGGAGGAGTTGTCTAGGTTTATAAATCATTCTGAAGAACAAAGCACCATCACCTAGTTCTTTCAACGTTCGCCTTGTGAGTGACAGACAATTTGCATTATGATGCTTAATGAAGTACTTTAAACCTTTAACCTGAAAGTTGGTTTTCCTTTAGTTTGCAGCAAGAAAATTCACTGTAACCTAAGCATGAATTATAGTCTCCAAGGATTCTGCTGGAGTTCAAACTGATTACAAGTAGATCACACATAAACATTCACAATAGCAATGGGTATATTGTTCTATTTATAGCCAAAAACTCCCAAGTGACACTGGTGTTAAAGCCAGCCACAGCACGGTATAATAAAAGTACCATTGAAACCCTTACTAGAAAGTTACGATTTAGAATTACCCCCCTAAGATTTCTCCCCTCCCCATCAGTTTTAAATTAAGGCCTCAGCAATGTAGCCCATAAGATAAGGCCAGTCTTTTATATTCACAAGTTGTAAGTTCTCTTTTGATAGCTGATTCCAAAATATCTGAGTTGTCACTTTCCCTCTGTTCATGTTGTGTCACTGCTGTAGGTCAGGAGATTGGCTGCTAGAGAGTCATTTAGCTGAGGTAACTCCATCAATGTTACCTTCCTAGGCAGATCTGCTTCTTAGCTAGCATTTTGTAGGTTCTCTTTTTCCTTTTTTTTTTTTTTTCAAATAAAAATGAAACAAAAGAACAACCCCCCCAAAAAGAAGGGATGCTTTTCAGGTTAAAGCAATCTGTTGCTGCTGTTCAGTCGTCGATCTTCACAGGAAGTGAATCTGATGTCCCAGAAGCAAGGGACTGAGAGGGAATCCATATAGAGGCTTCTTCACCTCTTGTTACTTTCTCCCATTGGTTGAGATTGTCCCTGGAGATACAAAAAAAAGTCAAAAAGGATTATTAGGATTTTTTCCTAGCAATACTGTCTACTTTTTTATACTATGCTATGCCATGCTAACTTTATGCTGTATGTAAGTACCTACCTGTAAGTCATTAGGCTTTTATAATCTTTACATTATTTCATTCTTTACCTCTAGTTATCCCATTTTGTAACTCTGTGTGGCTTGTATACAACTTGAATATCTCTGAAACAGCAGTCTGGAGACAAGCCACCTTCAGGGATTTACCACAGCATACTTGGGCCCTTTTCAAAACCACCAGAGACTTTTGCCAGGCAACTTCCTTCACTGGAAACCACAGCAGCACATCAACCCTTCTGAAACTCCTGCACAGGGGCTACCTGACAGTGTATATATAACATGTTGCATGCCAACACCATAGTATCAGCTTTCAATTACTAATGCAGTGATTGTACTATCAATCTACTACATTCAACAAGTGCCCCTTCCTTGAAGCAGAAATGGTGCATGTTGTGTCTTTCAGCCCTGCCAAACCCCAAATCCAAATTTTGGTTCACAAGCCATAAAATTATAAGAAAGTAAGCTGGTAAAGTTCTAACGATCTGGAGGGAGTACAGAATCATAATCTTACTTGCTGTACACTGTATCAGTTCAGTGACTTGGAAGTCTATGGTGATGATATCTCAATAGCAGACCATACTTAAAACCAGTGGCCATATGTAGCATTCAGTCTTCCAAAGATAGAGAGAAAAAGTGCAGGTTCAACTGTTTCAGCTTCTTACTATCAGATATCTAGTTACTAAAACAAGAGTTCTTTAGATGTCTTCTTCAGTAAACAAACATGATGGTGAAAACGCTGAGTCTTACATGCTCTGTCAGCGTATTACACCAGAATTTGTGTGTCAGAACTCTTCTCATTTTTATGTCACTGCTTTGCTGAAACAGTTGATAAAACAGCTGAAAGCACAGTGAACAGGTAAGAAGACAAAATGTTGCATTTTCTGAGGATAGAGGAAGGCAGGCTCTGATGGGAGTCTACAGAAGAAAGCTGGTGCCCTCTAGGGGAAAACCTAAGCCATTTTCTGTAGGCAGGTGGAAACCTGCTCTGTCCATGCTCCTGACCAACTGGAAGTCATGAAGCCAGAGTTTCTACGGCACTGAATCACAGCTAATACAATCAGAATCAGAAAAACAGAACCATCGCAATTTCTAGGTCCATTTCCTGTACATGGGAAAGTAATGAGGAGAACTGCAACCAAAATAATTTTAAAATTATATCAATTTCAGCAATAATTGAGAGACCTGAAAGCACATGGAAATAGTTTAAAATTATTTGATCTGAAACAAAGGAAAAAAAAAATCAAATCACTCCACCTCATCCTCAAGGTAAATATACTATAATAGACTTGACATTTTGGTAGGCCTAATTAGTACATGGGCTACAAAGCACACATGGGACTTACTCTGCATACTAACACAGGTGACTGATAGTTTTGATCTACACAGAACATGAAGAGAGCATTTTAAAATGTGGAATAAATTACTGAACCCAAAAACCTAGATTCTTAGCTGCTATCTTACTTCAGGGAAGTGAGTGACTAATACTTTTGGTTTTTTTTCAGATGCAGATAATACGATTCATTTGCCTTTCTGCTCCCAAAGAAGCCCTGGCTCCTAAGTGTCTGGAGTAAATGCCCAGAGCATCTCAAAATAAGAACCTTGATGCTGACATGCTGCCTTGGCTGCTTCCGCTGCTATTATTTGCAGCTGGTGTCTGCATTCCAAACAACTCAAGGACACAGCAGCTTAAACAACACTGAGTTCCAAGAATGAGCACTGCTGTTGAAGGGGTGATATCAAAATCACTTCAGTCAGCAGCTGAGGCAATAGCAAACAGGAATGAGGCTGTATTCTTCTCATCATACTGCGTAACAGTTACCCATCAAAAATAAAGGAAAAAAACACACAAAATCAACTATTTGAAATGTTCTGGAGAAGTAACATAAACCCTGCTAATAATACATATTTTAGTAATTGGGACATTGAAGTTAGACTTGTATTCCTGATTTCCTACTCTAAATCTCCAAGTTGAACTCTCAACTTCTTCAAACAGTGGAGGGTAATTTCAAGGCTAAGCTAAAACTATTAAACTGCTCCTCAGAAGACTTAATGCCAGGGTGTGGATTTTTAGGAAGATCCTTAGTCTTACAGAGATCTTAAACCTCATCCACATGTCTATGCCCCAGTTCTCTATCAGTGCAATCTAAATTAAGGAATGCATAAGAACTGGCTGGGGAGCTGAATCTGTACAGAGCTGTCCCCAGTCTGGAGACTGTTAGTGTAGTTTTCAGAAATATCTGTAGTATAACTGGAATTGCAAACAAATATAATTTCTAGAATAGAAAAAGTTAATTTAATATCTGCCAGGAGTCTGACTGCTTTTACTTCAGACATCACACCTTTCACAGAGAAACACACTTTTGAAAAGTTCATGTTTGATCTTCAGAAGCATGGATAACCTTTCATCTAGAAAACATGTATATCTGGGTGCTTGATACTCTTGATACAATATAGCTTCAAATCTCCTCAGCTGAGTACTGAAAGATGGACCATCAATTATTACAAGCCATTTTTGCAAATAAGCCTCATTTGGATATCCATGCAGCTAGAAATCAAAATATATGAGTCTTCCCAGAACCCTGCTCCTGCAAATGTGTGGTCTTAAAGAAAACTCAGCCTAGATTCTCTAAGCCTCAGCTCCCATTAAGTAGAATAACAATGCTAAATTCTTAACAAAGACAGTAGTAGGGTTATGCAAATGGTTTTACAGTTCTTACAAACCCATTTTTTAAGGATTGCCATTTGATTGAGCTAGTAACAGAACTTTCCTGACAGCTAGTGTTGAGGTTATTTGAGTAATCATAGAGTCTGAAAGACATTTTCCTGTTAAAAGCATCTAGATACTGATTTGAGAGGTAAAAGTACACCCAGATGTTGAAAAATAAGTAATACCGAAGAAAGAAAAAAACCTGCATATATAAAGCAGTTTGACAGTATTTGTTAGCTTGAGTAGAAACAAGTAACTGGAAATACTCAGGATAAGCATTACTGCATTTCTAATGGTGGGTATTATAGTTGATGCTGTCTAGTCCATGTAAACAGTATAAAACTCTTTCTGACTGAAAACGCGGTTATGCAAAGCACAATCTGTGTTTCAGTTACATGGATTAAATAACTGACCATTTAGCTTTCAGCTGCATACATTCAAGCAAGAGGAAGAGGTTAGAAAACTTCCAAGATCTCAGACTACTTCTTAGTGAAGCAGTTGGATGGCTCCTGACCTTGTAAAGACTGAAAGGTTTACAAGCAGTTCTATGGTTTACCTCATGTTCTCTGATTTCACACTGAAAGTAACTCTTCTTTATTTCTCAGAATACATATTATTCAATTATCTATGATCAAAATATCAACACAGCTCAGGGAGTACACATTCCTACCCTGTACTGAAACTCCAAGCAGAATTTGGATTTTGATGCCATTATGATAGTAACACACTCCACAGTGTTTTGAAATTAGACAAGAGTTTAATGCTATAAACAAATGGAACCACTAAAATATGCACTTAAGAATATTTCCATATGACTCACTTTAGGATAATAAATTAATGCTTGTTATTTACCAGTCACTGTTACTTTTATAGGTTCTAAGGACGAAAGATGCCACTATAAGGCTCACCTAGCCTGACTGCCTTGAAAAGTCAGGCCTTGGCAATTGTGTCACAGTAGCTGTGCCTCTGACCTGTATTCCTTTTACCTCTTTTAAAAAAGTATACCTAGACTTAATTCACCAAATTCCTTGGATGAACTTTGGGCCTTCCAAGTAGTGTTTAACTGCTACATTTATGAGCTTTGTCTAATCAGAAAGCATACTATGGAGACAGTTACAGATTTTGATAAAGTCATTCTCCTGGCCAAATTAAATACACTATGTCCAATATTTTTTGGTTTTCACTACCTCAAAACATTTTTTAAGCTCTTTCATAATCTTCTCTTATTTGCTAGTGTCCTTATCTGTTCTTTGTAAAGCACAACAGGATTCCAGTTGCAGACCCATTAATGTAATAACTACAGAGGTATAGTCTCTAATCCTACTTAATATTCCTCCAAATCCATCTAAGGGTTGCACAGTGGTGCCCAGCAGCAGGACCTTAGAGGCAGCTGACTATTAATGATGGCCCCTAAATACTCACTGTTTGGGTTTTTTTGTAAGATAGTCCTCTTTCCCACTGGTACAGACCTATGCATTTTTTCTCATACTGATATGAAATAGTGCTTGAGTGTGAATGAAATTATTTTGCTAACCACTATATTAAATTTCACAGCATTTTGTACACACTGGGCACCCTTCTGCTATTCCACACAGATCATTTAGCCCACAAGATCAGGAAAGTGATAGAGTAGATAGATCTGCCATACAGGTCCAAGACAAAGTTCAATACAAGCTGGAATTTAAGGACCACAAGAGAGAAAAAAAGAAAGATTATGAGAGAGGTGGTAAAAAACATAGAAATACAGGCCTCTTTTCCCTGGCTGTGACTAAAGATTACTGGCATTTTATGAACCAACTGTTCCTCCTTAGAGAATATCGATTAATGTGAAACTGGAACATGTTCATGAAGCATACTGGTTTCAACAGTTTTGTCAGGAAAGATTGCTAAGGTCCAGAATATATTTTTGGAACAGAACTACCAACAAAGAGATCCTCCACCCTTCCAGGGTAGAAGCAGCAAATTGATTAAACACCCTTAACTCTTCTGCAGGAGGTCCCAATTCACATCCCAGCTGATTGATAGGACAAAGTTACCACATTCCAGTGGCACTAACCTTATGCTCCCACTTACTGAATATTCTGGGAATCTTTTTTTTTATTATTTTTATTTTTCTTCGTAATAAAAATGCTGTGATGTGAAATAAAACCACCTACCAAAACTAATTTTTTTTCAATGAAATAGAATTCTAACCAGTCTTAGTTGTGACAACCATTTTAGAAGTAAAAAGGACAGAGGGAAATCGCACTGAACCAGCCTAGACAGGGATACAGAAGCACTGAACCTGTTTCACTCTAAATGCTTTTGGCATCAAACACAATTCAATCAGCTGTCTCTGTAGATCTGCATAGGATAGTCCCAACTGGTAGTTACTGGATAGCTGCATAGATTAATGGAAGAGATATATTCCAGTGTATCTGCATGCAAAGACTAAAATTAAAAGTCTGTATTTCCAGAAAAACTTGCAGAGCAAGTTCGTTTTTTCTTTAACCAAGCTACATGCTATGCAAAAACTTGCGTATTTACTCACCTGCATGCTCGAAGTAGTGGCCCAGTTGGAGGAAAGATCTGTGCAAGTGTGGTGTAACATGGGATGGCTACAGCATTGTAGAACCCAATCTACAGAAAACAACAATGAAAAAAAATAGTTAAATGTTGCCAAACTACAACACTGAAAGTGAACAGCCAAGTATCTCAAAATTGTTGACGCAAGTTAGTACGGCTCTGCCATGTGTACCTCATTCCCACCACTCCTAACACCAAAAAAACAGACAGATCCTAAGCAAATCAGTTGAATAATGAAAGGTCCTGTAGAAAATCCTATCTGAAGCAGCCATATTAAAAGAGTAACATGGAAGCAACTTGTAAGAGCCAGAGACTTCACTGTTAGTGCTTCATTTCAAAGTATTTGGATATTGAGAGGAGATGCAGAAGTAAGAAGTACCTGCAATATATTCTGCACAACCTCCTCTTTGGAACCCCAGTGTTTAAAATACGTCCTTTAAGTGCCTGAAAGCTTTTAAGTTAAAATGCGCATCAATCAAGAAAAACCCTAAAAGGCTCAATGGATTTAAGTTTTGAATAAATCCAAGTTAAGCAAAAACATTCCTTTGCAAAAGTTTCCCCTTCTGACCAGAGTAAACTCACAAAAATTCCTTTTGTAAAAGATTTAGATTATCTGAATAAATTATTCCAGACTGACTTTTATGTGGCTGTGGTTAGACAGAAAGCCAAGAGTTCACTCAGATATGAGCAATCTATTGAAATAACTTCAGGAAAGGCAGTGTACCTATATCCGAAGATGCATAAGAAGGAGGAACCAGAGAATATATTTGTTTTCTGGAATAAAATGTTCCTGTCTCTTCAAATTGTGCAGCCTAAGCATACTGCTAGCTTTAAAAGCTGTATCTTTAATTATGATAATGGTGATAAACCTTTTATTCTCAACCTGAAAACTGTATTTCTGGGATAAGCTTTTGAATGGCTGAAGCACTCATCTCTCCTTTCATTATCAGGCTGGCTTGACTTATTTATCAAAAGGGCTTTTGGGTCACAGCATAATTTCGGCATTTCTATTTTCTTCACAGGTTCTAAAAGGAGGGCAGAAAAGAAGGTGGTAGGACCCTTGCCAAATCAGGAATAGATCTGCAGTGCAGGATACACAGGAGGAAGACACTAAACCCAGAGACCTTATGTGAGTTGTGCTACAAAGGGTGTAAAGCACAATGAGACCAACTGATCCAGCCACCCAAGTGAAAGAAAGAGCTATGTACAAGCTACTCTCAACAAAGATGAGTACTTCAGGCAGAAGTAGGCTTTTTCAGAGATTAGATGTAAAGAGAAAAAAAACAAACATCTGTGATTTCACCCCATTAATGATTCTTTCACAAATGCCAAGATGACTACATACTATAGTACTTTGTACTTTTCAAAAATGTTCCAAGATAATTAATATAGTGTGTGGAAAAAAAAAACAAATGCAGAAAAATGTTCTTTCCTTTTTAGGCTTATATTAAACACACCCATTTAGTAAATTAACAGCTAATTCTTCACTATGATATGGGTACTAGTTTTTATGTTAAAATATGGTAGCGCATATAGAGTAAAATATCAGAATAGAAACTTTTCCATAGCCTGGCTTACCAAGTAATTAATGTACAGCAATTCTATGATACTTTGTGATTTCTGATTTGTGATTTTAAAATAAATAAAATATTTAAATATTGTTGTTAATTTCTGAGTTGATTGAATGCTTTGCAAGTGCTAATTACTGACAGTTAAAGCATCAAGCCACTAAAACAAAAAACCCCAAACACACAAATAAGAATATGAATGAACAATGGACAATATAAAACTCTTCGGCTCAGATAGTCAAAGGACAAGCTAAGTTTTTCACTTATCGAAAAAAGTTAATTCAAAAATCTTTTTTTCAAATTTATGTTTACAAAATACCAATTTTCCCTAGGGAAAGCATAAAAAAACAGTGATTTCTGCACATTTTTGCACAGGAACATCAGTACCCAACAGACAGCTGAGACTTTCAGAAATAAACCCTTTATTGCTTATCCTCATGAAACTCTTCACAATCTTTTTTTTAATAGGAATGTCAAAAAACATTTTTTATTGTTATTTTAAAAAAGCTAATGAAGAACTATGGGTTTAAAACTACAAAAATCTAAAAATCTGAACCCGGATAATTTAGCCAGAAATAGGTGAAGACATTCATTTCATATTCAGGAGAAAACAGTGAAATCTTTTAACTAAGGGCTGAAGCAACAACTTACTAAGTTGAAAAAGTGTTACTGACACTTCTCAAAACTATAGGTGATTGTGGTTCTAGCTAGATTTACAAGTACAAAGAATAGAACAGGTGAAAACAGCAAAGAGCAGGTTGTCATTTGAGTCAAGCTTTTGAAGATAAGATTTCCATTGCAGTTAAAAAAAATAAATAATCCTTTTTGCATGCAGAACATGGAATTCAGCATCCCTCATACCCTAATGTCAAATTATATATTCAGTCACATACAGAATGTTTTCTCCATACATGTTTTATTAACACTATAAAATGTGTCCTCTCACAGAGAGTTCATACCTGACCCTGAGGGACTTCATCTTTTTTGTCTCTGTCCATCATAGGAATAGGTTGAATACCCGTTTTCTTCATTTCATCACCCTGGAGATAAGTAGAGAGAGAGTGAGATGAGGAAAACAAAAATTCAGACTACTGAGACTCAAATAATTTCCATCTTCTATTATATGTCAATCTAAAAATTCAGAATTTAAAAGAATGTGTGGTATCAGCCTAGGGCAATCTTGGATAACTGCCTGAAGAGGGGCTCATTTTGTACATTCACCTAAAAGATACAGTAAAGAGCAGATCCTGGAAGATTTTGAGTCAATGTTCACACATTTTCCCTGTTTTGAAGGGTGTCTCCATAATAAAAAAAATAACTGGAAGAATAAAACCAAATAAATCAGTTAAATTTATCTTCATAGTTAGTCTCATATTTCAAAACATTACCTTTTTAAAGGCCTACTGGGTTTGTGTGCTGATCTTTTGGTACAGGGGAGGCTACAGGGATGAATTCTGTGAGAAGATGCCAGAAGGTTCCCCCATGTCCGATAGAGCCACTGCCAGCACTATGAGGGCTGCTATGGGGAAAGTGACCTCCATCCCAGCCAGATCCAACCTTAGTTAATGAAAACATTTATGCAGGATAACTGCTCACACAATATTTGCTTATCTGTATTCTTTAATGTGAGGTTCAGCTTACAGAGGTTTAGCTATCTCAAAGCTTAGGATGTCCTCTATATCTGTGTTCTATGTTTCTGCTACAGTTAGTGAAGACATCTCCAGAAGACAATTACATCTTTCTCACAAGGTTTTATCAAGCCACATTTTAAATGCTAATGTGTCCTTTCAAGGGATTTTGGCACCTTGACTTAAAGAGAAGTCTGTAGTATCATAGATTGAATCTGGTCTAATCTGAGTATCTTTCTGTTTTACTACCTTGCCAGTTCTTGAGAGTAGAAAAGATGGGGCCTTCTGGAAGTCAATTCCTTCTTGCATATTTGTCCTCAACATCACCTAGTAACTATCATCCTGCTCAAGTAACCAACAAGACTTGTAATCAGGAAGCTATTATTTAGTGTCTGCCTTATTCTCTCGTATCACATATTTCTCTCACCAAGCAGTTAGAGAGGCTAGAATCATCAAATCTAATCTCTGTTAGACATTTTACTGTTGGAAGAAACAAAACAAAGGCCTTCTTCCTCAGCTGATAAGAAAAAACGCCTGCAACAATTTCAAGCACAGAAGCTCAACACTAAACCACTTAGCATCATGTGATTTTAAGCTCTTTGATTTAACATAATATGGAGTGCCTGAGAAACATCTGAAGTCAGAGCTTTGACTGCCTCTGACTGATTATGCTAAAACAGAACAAAGCTCAGATTTTTGTTCAATGTTTCACCTTGAAAGAAAAAGGTATCACAGAATTGTTTGGGTTGGAAAGGACCCCTCGGGATCATCCAAACCATCCCACATCATCCCCAGCAGGATCAACTAGAGCAGGTGATCCAAGATGTCCAGTCAGGTTTTAAATATCTCCAATGACAGAGACACCATAACCTCTCTGGGCAACCACCCCCACAATAACAAAGTACTAGTTTAGATGGAACTTGTGCACTAGAAAGACAAGAGCTTTTTTGTGTTCAGTATGTGCAAATACATACATGATACACTGTTGCAGAAAACCCTGCTTTTATTCTCATAGTTATGACCACAATCAAAGTTAAAGTTGAAATTTTTTGCAAATAAGTTTGCATCATACTTCCAGTACAGCTATAATAGATTGATTGTGAGGCTCTTAAAATATGTTGCAGCAAGGGTTTTAAAACTGCCTGGTGTCTCATATCTATTCCTCTCCCCCCCAAAAAAAATAAAATCACAGTTTGTAATCCTATATAATGGATCAGCAAACATATTATTTTGCTTGCGTTTTAGCACTGTGGGAAAGCTTCATGCTGGGTGATATCAAGGTAGATCCTTAGCTGTAAACAGCAGCTATACTGGGCTTCATTCAATGACTCTGCAGTTATTTTTTTAGTTAATGATTACACAAAGATGAAAAATCATAAAAATGCTCTGATGAAATAATTCAACATTTTAAGATTATGAACACAAATAGTAATTAGAAGTAACATTCTACCCTACTTTTAGAACTGTAATATAACCATTCAATCTAATAAAATATACTTTTCTAAAAAGTATATTTTTCCTCAGTTAAGTAAAAATTTCTGTAGAGAAACACAATCTAGACTTAGTATTGACTTAGGTTTCCAATTTCCAGAATTATTTAGACCTGTGACTAGGTTTGTCAGCCATCCTGTCTAGATCACAACATATTCAACTTCTGCTGTGTATCAATTAACCTCTTCTTAAAGAGGATTCAGTAAAACACCAACTACATATTTGAATTTCTGTTATTAGCTTCTAATTTACAGATGTTCCATGAAGTAGCAATATAACAAGATCCTTCTTTATTAAATCATACTTTGATTACAAAACAAGCTAATTGGGCACCCTCAATTTTGTTCAAAGTTCCACTTCACTGTTTTTGAGTAGGAAAAATCAGTTTGAACCTTCCTTCCCCACTGAGTTCACAAGATTTGCATTAGAAAGTCTTCTAACTTGTAAGCAAAAAGTTGAATATGTAATCAATGAGGCACATCAACATCATACCACTATTATATCACTCATAAGAACACTCACTTTTCAGTGCTGACAGTTTAGAAAGTAAGTATTGAACGAACTAGGCCTTTGAGCATAATATAGTTTGCATTTTTCAAATATTTTATTGTAGTCTGACTTGTTAATAATTAGTAAGAAGGAGAACATGTCCATTACAAAAAGCACCCACGAGCCATGCACACCTCGTATTTCATAATGAACATGCACCAGGCAGGACAACAACCTCTACTACATCACAATGCATGCTACATCAATTCTGAGGGCCTGATTCCCATTTTACACCCGTGTAAAACAGAAATGAGCCCACTGAATTCTGCTGACTTCCACAGGGCACATAACAGAAAAGAGGAACACTTTACAATACACATGTAATAGTAGTTCTGAAGATACAGTGTATCTTCTAAGACCACACAATTCCACTCTACACAACACCCTCAGAATTTATTCTTTAGTCCTAAAGTAGTCACTTTTGCTTTACAAATTAAATTATTAGAATATTTACTCCTCAGTGTAAGACACATGAGATTCCTACAGCTTAATGCCTTGTTTCAATTATCAGTACGTCTTATCTGTGGATTAACTTTCAATATATTAAAAAGCAACTCTCTCAGTCTTTGTGAGCTGACTCACAAAGAAGATTCAAACGGTCAAACAGAACAATGTTAAGTTTTTTTTATATTTACATTAACATTTCCTGGTCTCATACAACAGCTTTATAAGTGTTTCAAGGCAGCTGACCTACCTAGAAAACTGGTTTCCAGTTCTGGATTTCTAGAATACAAATAGATCCTTCACAAAACTACAGTTAATGACTCAAAAAACCTATAGATATGCTTCTGTGTTTTGTTGCTTAGTCACTTTATGTTATGATATGCTTTTAAATTAATCTTTAGATTAAAAAAATGCTGCCTGAAAATTAGGGAGCTAACTCAGCTCTATAAATAGATTCAGAGTTAAACAACAAAAACACATGCACATGCAGCTCTGAACACTCCTTGAAATGAGCACATAAAGATATCCACTGAAAAATACTTTTGGTTGTGGTTTTTTTCTTCGTGATACTTCCATTTATAAAGAAGAGAGAGTAAACAAAAGAAGAACACATACCTCAGCCCAGAACTCTGCATATATATCATTGGCCGTCAGTCTGGTAACTGGCCACAATTTTGTTACAGAACACAAATCACAAGCTGTCATCATCAGACCAATCACTCTATCTCTAAAATAAAATTACATTAAATAGTAAGTTTGGTAAAGAATTAATGAGCACACTGCACAAATTTTATTTGCCCTTCCCCAGTACAACAAGTAGTAAAGTATACATACTACAAAATTTCTCCTACCTTGCTTGTTTCTTCCTCACGTTTACGATTCAATGATTAGGCATCACACAAAGTGCTTATTATACTCCCTGTAGCATTCCCTGCACTGTTTGTAATCAGAGTTCATAGACCATCCCCTTCACAATCCCATTTATAGAAAAACAGACAAGAATGCCTGACTGTTAAAACACACTTATGCCCCTCCTTAATTTTCCAAAAATACAGTACAAGTCTATTAAAAAAAAAAAAAAAGACAGCATATCCTGTTGCTGCATTTCTTTCTGTTCTTTAAAGAGAGGAACATGCTCCAAAAGAAGGAAAAACTAGTTCTGAGACTAGCAAAAAGTACTCTGTCATGGCTTTGTTGGCATGAAATCTAACCTTGACAGACGAATTCTAGATGCAACTCTGTCCTATACACTGACAAAACTGTTCACAGAATAACAGAACAACCTCAGTAGGATTTTTATAATTATTAGAATAAGTTATACACACAAAAAAATCTTATTTAAACAGCTTTCTAGCACTCATCTACTACCCAAACCTATGGTTTATGAATCCAAGATTTATAAAGAAAACTGGAAATCTAACTAATGAATTAATGTTTTTCACCCAATGGAGAATTTAACATGAGACTTAAGGACACTTGCTTCTCTTTTAATAAAGGCTATTCCATGAAAAAAAGCACACAAGCATTCCAATTCAATGGCGGACAATAAAACTGTTCTGACAGACAAATATATGAGGGAAAATACACAAATACACAATATAATCAATAGAAAAATGGCAAAGTGCAATTTCCATGAGTTAAGATAGATGATTCATTAGCCACACAAAGGCAAAATTTAGTATTCCATTGCATTTCCAGATACCAACTAGAAGTTCTGGACTCTTTAGCCACATTATAAACTGATAGCCTGTCTTCAGGCACGTGGCTTTGCACTGAAAAAGCTCTGAGTGCAGGTAAAATTAAAAAACATATCACCATAGTAGAAGATGTAATCACACTCTAAATAGTTGTGATCCTGTTTAAATCTTATAAACTATAAATTCAAGATTTCTGATAATTTTCATTCTGAGATTATCAGAAGCTACTGTATCTTTAACTTTTTAAGATATCAAGGTTTATCCAAGTCTTTTAAGCTTAATTTCCATACTGTGAAATAAGCTTTTAAGAACTGTGCTTCCTACAGTATTGTAATAGCTTATTCAAAACTACTGGTAAAAACTAGTAAAACTCCTTAGAACAAAGACCCGTGTACCAAAGTTACTTTTGAAAAGAATTCAGACTCATTATTCAATGTTTTCCTGTATCACCTCTCTAATTTTTCCCTGCATTAGATTAATGACAGGATTCACTTTACAACAAAGAAGCTCTGAAGGGCTGCATGAAGTCTATTATCAGACACATCTTTCATCTAGGGTGCACCGTGTTTTGCTTGTGTGGACAAAGACAGGAATGTATTTATGAATATATGCACTTACATATTTTTAAAACTTAAAGCTCTCTTAATTCCAAAAAGTTGAGATCTGACAAGAGTTCTTAAAAGAAAAAACCCAAAACAACAGACATATTGACAAAATAATTAAAATATTGACATAAAAGTAAAACTACATAATTATTGCACTACACCTTTACCTTTTTCCCTACCACCTAACTGTGCACTAACTTTCTTGTGCAGAAGATCTGTCACTGAACTGTGCAGATGGCATGTGAAGGCAGTGACATGCAAATACAAAACAATGGAAATTACTCTTACATACTTGGAATTTTACACACAGCTAGTCATGTGTAAGAAAATTACTGTTTACACAGATTTGATTTTTTTTTTTTTTTCAAAAAATAAGGGTTTTTTTCTAGGACTAATGCCATAGTGAACTAATACTGGTTTGCTTCTTTACCTGTGTGCTTGGTTCTTAAGGTTTAATGCTCCTGTCTGATGCAGCTCTTCAAGCTGTTTTCTGTTTCCAAAATACAGGGCAAGGTCTGTAGCGATGATGGCTTTCCGGATGATCTCCAGTACTTGCTCATATTCACTGGAGCTCAGATTGGAGAAGACATTGTGCCCTTCCAGCTATGAAAAAGTAAAAAAAAAATAAAAAGCACAAGCTCTAATTCTGAGATTCCTTCAGTCTTTAAATTCACCAGACAGGTTACAATGGTTTTACAGCCCCATGACAATTTTTGTTGCAAATTCAAATGCTAACAGCCTGAAATTCCTGTTTTTATCTTTCCTTTTTAAATTCTGTCATCAAACCTATGACTAAGCCCCTGATTTGGTTTTGGGACTATTTCTGAAGCCTAAGGGTATTAATACAGAAAAATCCTAGCATTTTCTTCCCTGATTAGCACTACAGACAACAGCACATCTAGACAGTATTAGCTTGGGAACTTATGATTCAATCCTGATCCAGAGTACTGCACTATCAAGTGGATAAACTGATTGTTTGATTCACTCTGAAACACAATTTTGATACTGCATAAACACATACTATTTATGAGGAAATATCCAAGTTGAAGTACTAAAATAATTTGCTTTTTATAGTGCTCCAAATGAAATGTGCCAGAAATTGTTGTATTTCCTGATACAATTTTCTCTATAGAAATAAAGTTAATTACAGGATTTTAATGTATATGAACATTTAGGGGGGAAAAGCTCCTTTATTCAACTATGAGTTGACTGACTTGTAAACTAAAGATGATAGTTTCCACTATAGAGGCTCTGGCAACATGCCACTGTCATCCTTTTTCAATTTCCACTATGTATTATTGCACATTAAACTGAGAATACCCATGCACTGTGATCACTCATGAAGCTGTATCACATTTTGAAAGTCAACACTATCCTGTCTCTAAGACTTGGAAAACAACTTGTCAAAATTCTTCCTACTGTTGAGAGGAAACAGACAAATATAAGAAAGAATAAGCCAGCCGTGTCAAGGTGTGCACATTCTCAAATAGAAAATATTATTAAAATATACCAAATGCAGATGTATTTTGACATCTAATTGGCATTTGGACTGATGGTCATAAAGACTTCCCCTGACTTTTGTCAAGCATTTACATAATTTGTTCAAAATAAATCCTCTGTGGTACAAATAGGCTTGGTTTCTCTCACCATCCGGAACATAAACATAATTTTCCAACATTTTTAGTTGGACAAGTAGATTTAATGTGAATAATGAATAGAAAATACAATCCATCTGTGTCTCAATGCTACTTTCACAGACTCCTAAGTCATATAACATGATTTTAAAAAGAATAAAAAATCAGAACATTTTAACCCATCATCAACGTTCTGGGAGCAGGAAATTGTTACTGGTAGTTTTCATTATTTAGGATTTTGGGGAGATGCCTTCCTTCCCAACCTTGCTACCTACTCCATGAGAACAAGCTATTTGTCCTAATTTTTTAATTACTCTAGATTCTATTATTTTGGGTTTGGAACCTGCAAATCTGCACTATCAGAAAGGCCACTGTGACAGTTTCTGCTCATACTACTAGAAAAGAACTGATTCTGATACATACTGACAGAAGTTGCCATTTCTGAGCATGTCACTTTGCCTTTTGAGTAGTACATTAAAAGTACAGCTCCTAAGATTTTATTCTTTCACTGCTGAGCTAAAGCTAGTGAATGGACTCCTCTGTATTCATAAGTATGGTGTACACTAGAACTGAAGGGGTATGAGCAAAGCAGCTGTAAGTTTTCCAACAGTGAAAAGTACATAACATTAAAATTCACTGAGATAAACCCTTGAGGGTTTGGTAGGTTGGGTCATCACCACCCATGGGGACTTGGGTAGCCAAGGTCTCAATTCACTCTACTGCCCTGATCACCTATCTCCCTTTCTTCACTCACACTGAGTGCCAAGGCTAGGAGGTAGCAGGGAAGCAAAACAGTTCTCTGACTTCTTGGCAAATAGGACTTTCACAGATTACAACATTTCTGCAGAAAAAATGCAAGACTGAAGTCTGCTCCACGTAGTCATAAAGGAGCAGAGCATTGTTAATGACTGAGGAACTTGCTCACTGTGCACAAGCTCACATAAAGAATGAACACTAAAAATCTAATGCCATACCGCCATGAAGGATTCAATTACACCCTCCTACATAGAGGAGTATTCAAAGATAAAGCTTCAATTCTCTGATGAAATGTACGTAATACCTAAAACCATAATCACAAGATGTGATTCTGAATACAATACAGAATATATATTTTCCTAAAAAGGTGATTAGGTTTTTAAGAAAATAAGTATCTTCCCCCTGAAAGACCAGAAAGAAAGAAAAGTTAACAACAAATTGGTGGCACAGTAGCATCGTAAGGCTGTGCATTGAGCCATGTACATGGTAAACTAAAATCAGTGAGCACAAGTATGTTATGGGCTGGCAGTGATTTCATCAGCGAGAGTTCTTGCTCTTCTAGTTGAGCATAAAAAGAAATGTAATTGAAGAGAGAATATCTGTGTGTCAGTAGCACACCTGGATTTCCCAAAACACTTTGGCATGCTTTTAGTTTTCTATTCTTTAAATACACAGACATATTAACTCACATTGGGAACTCTCTTTCATAGAATATTACATTTTTTCTTATTTCTTTCAAATTACTGAATAACAAAATAGCACATGATAACATAATGGAACAAGTGTAAACTTTTCATGCGTGTAAAATTAACATTTTCTCCTTCATGCCACACATTTAACATTAATAGTATTTATTACAGCAGGTTTTCAAGCTTCTCATGCAAACTTTTGCCAGTAGTTCAGTTTTCATTCAGAATTTCAGGATGGTTGAAGACTTAGTTAAAGCACGTTATGCCAGAAATATCTAAGTAAGGGAGAAAATGTTGGTTTTTTTTTTATTATTTCCAAAGTTCCTATTCCATTTGATCTTAGGAAAAACCCTCATTAACCCAGAAGCTCCAAAAGAAGACCATAAGATCTTCAAATATACAAGATTTTTACTACCATGAAGACTTTGCAAAAGCTATGTTTTGCACTATTATTGAATGCTTGGGTTACTAATTGTGGAACCCAGGTTGCTGTAATAAATCTTCCGCTCTTTAAATGAGCACTACAATCCAGAAATTAAATTAAGCATGCTTCAGAAAATGTAATGGGTAATGTTGTGACTCATATTTCCACCACTGGACTCTACTGCACAGAAGACACAGTTTTAATAATCCTACCTGCAGGATGGACACAGTCTGCGAGAAGTGGTGCTGTTCCATTGTTGATGTGGAATAGAGAGCAGCTAAGGGGTGATCAAATTTCTGAAGATAGCTGTTGCTGTAACCTCTGTGATCCAGGTCATGACACAGGCATGCAACTAGAAGACCTTTTCGCTACAAAAAAATTTGAGATAAACACGAGAAGTAAAATGTATTTCTTGCCCCTAGATGTCACTCTCCTCCCAAAATACTGTAAAAGTTGCACTATGCTTACACTACCTTCAAAAAGCACATGGAGAAACATCCTTAAAATTTTGAGAACTATTATGGTAAGGATGGACTGAATAAAAATTCTTATTCCAATAGTAATTCAAAACACATTCATTAATGTTTGTGAAGCAGTTACTGCCAGCATGGAGTATCACGGAAATGTCGACAGACTTAAAAGCTCTATCTTATACTTGGTTCTAATGTGTATTCTGTAAAGAAGAATAAGGCTATAAAATGAAGCAGAAAAAGAATACTGATTAACCATCTACTCAGTGAGTAATATCCAGCCTGTACACAGTATTGAGGCACATGATTCTATGGAAAAATAACAAACAATTATATAATTAAAGATTTTATCAGAGATACACAATGTTCAGAATTAAGGTTGTAGCAACCCTAGCTGTATTTCTGATTTTGAGACCTTTGTTTTTATTTTAAATCCTTCACTTTTCTTTTAATGATATATTTTTAATATTGCATCTTGTGAAGTGCACTTTTAAAAAATACACAACAAAACAAAAGATGCAGCAGCACAGATCCTCAGCAGAAGTGGAACCCTTCAGAACATAACGTACATATATATATTACTTGAAGTCATGCAGTAACAGCTGTGAAAAGCTGGTATCCTCTTTTCACTGCTATCAGGAGGGGCAAGACATGTAACCAACAGACTTGAAAAACAATCTCTGACAGCAAAGGAAAGATGAGCTTCAGAATCCTTTCGATACTTGTCAGAACTAGAGGGCATAAGCTTTTCTGTCCTTCCCTCTTAAGTTTAAATCACCTTTTGCAACTTGTATCTTTTCCAGCCTTCTAATTTTCACCAATCTGTCCCCTGTACCAGATGGTTCTCTGTCTAGCTTGCCCCAGTCTCCATGTCCCAGAAAGTCATTATTTTCTTAATGCTTCAGGATTATACAATACCTAATCCCAGTGCTCTTGACCTTGTACCCATTGTTCCTGCTTGGATCCTGCACTTTTTGACTACAGTCAACTGCTGGAATTACCTGTCTCTAGATCAGAGACCCCTTTAGAGTGTGTCATCCTTATCTTCCTATCTCTAAGACTATCAAGGTTTATATCATCATCCCTCACCTGTAGACAGCTCATCCAAGGTCCCCAAACTTTCCTTCAGCAGTTACCTGTATTCTAATTGGATACATCTCCAGAAAGAAGATGGCTAGGAAGAGCTGGAACACAGACTAGGATATAGCATTCAAACAGGTGAAGGCTGGCTGGAGCTTGGCAGGGAACAAGACTGTTTCCATCTCTCTTAACAGCTGCCTCTTTTGCTCTCTCTGTCTCTCTTACTCTCCATCTTCAAACTTATAGGGCTTACTATTTGGTTAGTAAGAGAGATTAAAATATTCCCTGAGGCTGCAATCCAATAGATTTTTCTTGTTTAAAGGAATACCAATTTTTTCAAACTTGCATAGCTTTGCCAACTTCCAGCACATGCCTGGCAAGTGTCACTTTTTCAATGTTCAAATCCTTGCTTTACAGCAGAATAAACTAGATCTTTCCAAATGAAAGATCACTGAATAGAAACTTGACTACTCCTAGTGTGTTTCTTTAAAAGAGCCAAATAATTTGGCTGAAATTTCCACAAATTAATCAGAGGAAGTCATAGAGCTTGGAAAATTACAGCCCAAATGGCTAGTATTTGGCAAAGTTATACATAACAGAAAACAATTTCTCTCAGTCTGAAGTTTCAAGCAGTATTGATAATAACACTCCCAGTTGCACCTATCATAATTCAAGGGAAAAAAAAAAACACAACAAGTCACAGTTCTTCATAGTGTATATTAACATTTAGCCATTCTAAGCCTTCCATTTTGTTATTCTACCTTTTCCAGTTAGGGATCTATTAAAAGTGGTTTTTTTTTTCCTGATTTTTTTAAACACTATTCCTTTATCTTTAAAATAGGTACACACATGCTAAGGAAAGCTGTTGTATAAGTTGATCAGAGATTTAGCACATTTGGACAACTATTTTCCTTCCATCTTTTCTGTTCTTCTTTACTCACATATGTTAACCACCTCTGCAACACTCTTTTCCCTTGTCCTCCAATTCAGCATCTCTCAGATCTCACAGAGTTCAAGATCCAGGGTTTTCCCCTCCCCTTAGTACAGATCTGACAGTTAGTTAAATAATTGAAATAAAGACTGTGGTTTTAAGTGGGCAAGTAGAACGTCAACATGTGGATATAGACTTAAAGAAAATCCGCTACTGCCTCATCAGCGGGTAGACCTGAAAAATGTCAAGGAGACACTAGGATTAGGAATCTAAATCTTCTTCAATTCTTCTTCAAGCTTTTTACTCAGTCCTGTTCCTCTGCGGGGACTTTTATCTACACTCTAAGCAAGCCGACAGGAAAATTCTAGCACAGAAAATGTACTTCTACAGTGACTTTTACCTCTGATGAGGTCTAGTAACTGAAATAGTGATCTCACCTACCTCTAGATCAGTGAAAAGGCCCTGGTTGTTCTGAAGTATGGCATACATGCAGTGTGCAACAGTAACTGCATGCTTCCAGTTGTGGTAGGGCACACGGCGATAATTCTTCTTTACAGACATAGTGAATCGGCACAGCTTTTCAAGTTCAAAGCTAGAAGGAAATTAATTTGGTCAGAGACAAGAAATAAAAACGAGAGGAGAAATAAAAGGAGGAGAAAAAATGCTCTTTGATTTACTCTTCTTGCTAGGATTGACTCTCATTGTGGATGACTCATTGATCACAAGAGTCATTCAAGTTTTGGCAAGGACAGATGAGTGTGAATACCTGACAACACTGTTGTTTAATCTGTAAAGTTCTGGAACAAAAGTCAAGCTACCAAGCTCAGGCAACATGATTGCATAACCTTCCCTGCTCCCAGAAACTTGAAGGGTGGTTTTTTCAAATTGTTAACTATTCAATCTGCCAAACAGTGAAGTTGTATCTAACAGACAATTTGAAAACAACATTTGTGACCAAAACTGAAAATTGGGGATGGGGGGATAAGCAATAGTATAGAAGATACAATCCTTTATACATTAAAATTTCAGTGAAACACCAAATGCATAAGTTGTTTTGGCTAAAAGAAATCGAGATGCTCCATACTGACATCATGAAACTATTAAGATTCTATATCTACCAATGTTCCTTGGAAAGGAAAATGGAATGCTTTTTGTTTACAGACTGGAAATTCAGACACCAATCAGATATCAGGTCAAATTTTCTGAAGTATCTAATACAAGCCGCCTGGGGTGAAAAGGAAATATTGCACTAGAGCCCAGAACTGAACTGAAGATGCCTGAGTCCCCAAGTCACTAACTTTTCCCCTCTGTAACAGATCAGTATCTCTTTATTCTCATTTTCTTCCCCTCTTACTGTGGTTTTATTTTTTTTTAAGTTCCATGTTTGGATAATTTCTTGGGTATCTCATGGAAGCAGTATTAAGGTTCTAGTTTTGCTGTATATGTGGGCTGAGAAAATGAAGCTAACATGTATGTAGAAATGTAAAGACATCTACTGTATGGAGCCAGTTGGACAGAAAAAACTTATTTCTGTGGTTTTGTGCTGAGCAGGGTCATTATTCCTCTTAGTCTTAGTCTGAAATTAGTCAAAAAGGAGGCATATTTTCTTTCAAAAAAACTTTAGTGCTTCTTTTTTAATTCTAGAGACTTAAGTCAGACAGCTCTAGAACAACTCTTTAGAACTACTTTTTAAATTAGTACATTCTAATTCAGATTATCAAAACAATCACTTCCATCTCCATCTACATCCAATATCAACTTGTTGGTTACTATGGAGTAGTACAGTGGTAGCCAAAGGGAAAATTACTATCTATGATATCTCAGCATAGAATACTATTACTTCCTCCACTGCTGTATTTTGTATACTTCATTAAAGCAGTAAAATGTTATTTCTTTGTAAGAGCAAAGAACATACACTGAGAACATGTAATGAGAATTATAGGTTTTCCTGTAAAATCCTCCCTCAGCTGGACAGTTATACATTACATAGGTCTATGTATACAGATTTAAACCTCAATATCTTAAAAATCTAATTTTAGTCTTAAAATAGCTGCACTTGTTGCAGAGGGTTGAGAAATTTAATTCTTTCAGAAATTAAACACAAGTCCAGCTAAAACAGTCTCCTTCTCAAATATTTTTGTCACTTTTGTTTCTTTAACTTTATATATGAAAGCTGAGACTCATTTCAAAACTGTCTAGTAGATATAAATGCTTTACAGGCAAAGTTACACCTTGTAAGAAAGAGAGAGAGACAGACACAAAAAAGAACAGAATTACACTGGAAATTCAAACCCAAATCCTACATCCACAGGCATTCATTCAGGAATGGAAACAAGCTAACTATACCAAGCATAAGAAAAGTGAATTTAGAACAGTCCCCCACTTTGCAGTCTTGTAAAGATGTGAGAAAGACCATTAGGTTTGAATGTATGCTTTGAGGGCATGGAGATTCATCCAATTATTAAGATGACACAGACACCAGCAAATGTTTTCCAAATGTCGCCTCTTTTTTGCAGGGAGATATTTCCCCTTTAAATTGCACATCTCAAGATTTTTTCCATACTTTGCAGCAGGTCCTCTCTTCCAGGGTCAGGAAATACTTAGCCAAGAGACTACTGATCTTAGTGACAACAATGAACACAGAGAAAAAGGGCAATAAATTAAACGTTTCATTTGAAAATCATTCACTTCCATAATTAATGCACAATGATGTTGATAATTTATTTACATAACAAGATAAGATCTAACTTTGGATGATTGTAACCATATACTTTATTCATTTCAGCACCTATATATTTGAAAAATCAGTATTCATGGACCTTCTCTCCTTTTTTGGCAAGAGTGTCTTTAATATCTTCACCATCTTCTGCATGAACAGCCATTTCATGTCACAACCAAACAACAGTTCTGTATATTGGAATGACAACTATTTGGATGCTATCATCAGTTCTTTTACCTGGCTGTTCTCAAATTTTATTAACTGAAAATCAAGAAGCTGGGACAAGAATTCCAGCTTGCTTCTTACAGCCAGACATAGTAAATACATTCCAAAGAAAAGAAGACCTTGAATTAGAAAATAATGATCTCCACATTTTCTAATAAATACACACGTAAATTAAACACAGAATTAAAACGATAAATAATGTACTTCATACCAGGCTGTCCCACAGGACTGGTGAACCATGTAGACAAAGATGGCAGGCCAGACGTCCTCATACGGACTGATATCAAAGTGGTATCTACAAAGAAAGTTTCATCTTAATAAGGACCTTAGTGAGCACCTTTTTATTCTTACTTAAAGGAAGTGAAAAAAACTAGGTAATGTATATTGAGCAGAATTCAGCTTTTTTTGTTTCTGAAAAGAGAGAGAAAACTGATTTTAAAGGCTGTATTTTCCAGCAGCAATGTAAGTGAATGTACTTCCAATAAGGTCAATTGAACTATCCTCAGAAAATCATTTAGGTTGGAAAAGACCCTTAAGATCACCAAGTAGAAAAATCTTAGTTTGACAGATGGTATCGATTTCCAGATACTCCTAAAATATTCCAGAATTTCCTCCCAGGAATTACAAAGACGGTGTCTCAAATAATACATTTACAAATAATATATTTATTTTTCAATAATTTATATCACAAATTTCGTGAGAATCACTCTAGAGAAAAAAAAAAACAAAACACACCATTTTTACCAGCTAATATAAATTAACCCCAAGCGTCAAAAATCAAACATTTAATACCATTTTTTGCTTGTTTCATAAACTGAAGACTCCCTCTCCCACTATCAACATCCAGGCATAATTTTAGGGACCCTCTCAGCAGACCTGTTTGTCCTTTGATTATAATTAACCCCTTTCCCTGCACCTGCTGTGCTGCAAGTTTTCTATTTACTTGCCCCAAAACCCAACTCAACACCTGCACATACGTGAGGTGAACACTGAACAGCACAGCAGGTACAAGAGAGCTGAAGATAGCTGAATTGCTTGAAAAATGGTTAAATGTATTCAGATTGCTCAAACCAAAGGATGTTAATACAATTTGAATGAAACCTGTCATCCTTGCAAGTAATTTTTGCTGAGGAGGTGGGTTATATAATATCATCTAACAAAGCACAAGAAATTGTATTGCAAAGAATAAGCTTCTATCAGGGTGTAATCCTGCAAGCTGCTAATACTTTGGCTTTCAAGCAAATCACTTCAGCATGTAATGAACTTTAACTGTAAGCAGTCCCTATTAAGCATATACTTGCTTGCATGCTTGCTCACTTCTAACTACAACGGTCAGTGTCTGATAAGAGTGAGCGAGCTCTGGAGATTATGTTTACAAAGACAACTTAGATTTTGTTACCCAGTATTATAGAGCTTTGATTTTAGATGCCAGGTCACTAGAGTAGTATTTTTTGTCCTGGGCCAGAAACAGTGATGAAAAAATTAGTCCCAATGCTAGCGTTGAGTGGGGACTGACTGGTAACAGAGGTACATCTTCAGCACACAGCAGACCCTTGAGAGCTGAGTGAGTGAATTATGTCAGAGAAAGCCTAAGACAAGTGGTTTGCAACTCTGAACTCTGGCACCTGAGAGTCATAACTCTGAATTACCTTCAGAACATTAGAGATCTCTACCCATTTTCCCCTCCTTCAAGAAAATTATAGACACAGAGGCACAAAACACACACAAAACAAACAAACAAAAAACACACAACCCCCCCTCCCAAAAAAAAAAAAAAAAATTTAAAAAATCAAACCAAACAAAAAACCCCCACAAACAAACAAACCAAGCCACAACCTCCTTCTGCTCAAAACCCTAAAACCGTAACTAAAAAACACAAAACTGAAAAAATCTCTACAAGCAGCTGAATCTTTTTTTTCTAAAACATATACACAAGGGAATGACAATGCATTTGGTCTCTACTGATATTCCAGCTCAGCCTCCTCTCTGGCTCTGAGCTTTTGGTGTTTTGGAACTACCAGAAAGCAAAGCTCATCTTGAAAATACTTAGATACAAACTAATGCTTAAAGCATCTGCTGTAGCTACCCTTGCCTGAGGAAAATGTTACCATTCTGAGGAGGTATAATTTCACATCTTTGACGGATAAAATCTGTTCACAGGTCATCACATATAACTAAATATAAGAAAGCCAAAAATAAACCCCTGTGAATTTGGGACAGTTCAATTAAAAAAGTGCTTCCTACAAAACTCTCCACTATATCTAGGGGAAAAAAAAAAATCTTTTGCTGACTGATACAAGATGCAATTATTACTATAAGAGGAAAATACTTACAGTTCAATTTCTTTATAAATATGTGGAGGCAGTGTACAGTGCATGAGGTTTTGCCACTCTTCTGCTGTACAAACACTGTGGTAGGATAACTTCTCCATCGTTACACGGTATATACACTCTGAATGGCGAATTCTGTGGTACATCTGGAAAAGGGAAGGCATTCATTAGTGTGAAATTTTAATGTAAAAAACCCAACATTTCTTTCCTGTATTCAAGCACTAATTCTCAAAATACACGTCTGCAAAAACGTTACAGATTCTGGCCGCTCAAAATTGCACATTACAAATGTGACATATTACATGAAATTCAGTATTTCTGGTAAACAGCGTCCTGTCATATCATCCTGCATCTACTCTGACAGGTAAACACCTAGGGCTCAGCTGATTTTTCACTGAGTTTGAGCTCTCCCAAAAAAAGAATCAAAGTTCATCAGTTATAGAGCTCAGTCCCTTGTAATATGGTATGAGAAAAATAACATGCTAACAGGACACAATCCATATTTTGTACCACTGCATGAATTCAGTTATTAATTAATAGAAACAAATGGTACCTATACACAGTAAAAAGTACATGAGATATTTATCATACCTACGTTACCATGTGATAATTGTGAAAAATACATACAGTTAAATATTGAGAGGTTCCAACAGCTGTTGCAGCCCCAGTGCATCAACAGCATGTTAGTACAATGGCTTCATGTGAATCACCAGGCTTAATTGGCGGAGGACAAAATCTTACCTCCCATGAATATGACATATTTCTTTTGCATTGAATTTTTACTATATTTATCACATTTTTATACTTATATAAAGATCATTAAATTGCTTACACTTCCTACAGGAATAGTTTTGGGTTTTTTTTTATGATAAAGAGTTTGAAAACTAGAATTGCTACCCACTCTTACCTAGAAGCATGGATGTTTATGAGTATATAGCACAGTGTATAAATGTATAAATTGATATATTTTACTATTAAGCATATGGAATTGAGAGGATACATAGCATCTCCCTCCCCCAGTTAAATTTGCAAAATGTGATCTGAATTTACAGAAATAAACAAGAAACCTACTTCCTAATGGAAGAGAGAAGACAGACAGGTCCCATTCACATTTCGGAGCGTGCTCTTTCAGTTTAGCTACACAAAACTGATGTATCCAGAGTATAATTATTTCAGAAAGCATCAAATGAATCCCTATCATCTTCATAAAATATAATAATTCTGCAAAGGATTCAATGATTCCCATTTCCTCATTAATTCAACAGAACAGACTTATGAATCACTTTATTATGGAGCATCAACATCCTTAAGTAGCAGTCTAAGTCATCCCATTCTAACCAACACTTTACAAAACTGTACACAAAACTTACATTAGCACAGTGTAAGGCTAAAGCACAAAAGACTGCAAACATTTTAAAGTTGTTCTCATCAGTTTTAGAGAAGGCACTTCCACTTATTTTGTTCACCATCTGCACAACTCCTATTACACTTCCTCGGCTTACAATAGGCATGCACAGGATGTTTCTGGTTGTGTAACCTGTGTAGAGGTCTACTTCTCTGGAGAGCCAGAAAAGAGAAAGAAACAAAAAAGAAGAGTTCATGTTATTAGTTAATATCTAGTCCTTGATTCTCAGAAATGTTGATGTCCAATATACTAAATAGTTTTAAAGCAGATGCAATTAGTACTTGCAAGAAGTTCACCTCCACAGCCGTCAAATATTTCAATCCAGTGCTTCAAATTTGGAAATAAATTTTAATAATTAAATCTCCATTTGCAAGATAAAGAATTAATATTTCCTCAAATGTATACTCAACTTATTAATAAAATCAAAGAAGACATTCAGGTACTTAGGCATGCTATTTGTTAGTGAACTTTTTTTTCTCCCCTGAAATGAATCAGATTGTAGGGAGCGTAATCAGGAAAATCAGCAACAGTCTGCCTACCTGGACAAAGTTCTATAACAGGAAAAGTATAAAATATAAAATTATATATATGTTTGATGAAAATACTACTTTTCATTTGTATCTTAAAAATATCTGTGATGGCTGAAGCATTTCAATACCTATCTACAGGTTGTCTCCTCATCAGAGGATAACAAATCCTTGAATGCATCCTGATATGAAATTTAAGTAGTGCATTTAGGTAAAAGGTTCAGTGAGCTATCTTCCCCTTCCATGAATAACAACCTACCTGTTAAAGCGTGGATCTGCATAGGCATCAGGGATGTTAAGGACTTCTCCTGTTCTTGCCACTTGACCAGCTATTCCTTTTTCTATAGAAAATCTGCATAAAATAATAATGTGCGTTAGCCACAATATGAACTATCTGGAAAACATTTTTCCAGTGGAGTCTGTCTTGGGCACGATAATGGAAATTTGTTCGCAACCAGCGTCATTTTAATGCTTTTAGGAGAAAAATCTTACAAGACAACAACTAGTAGTAAATAATACAATTAAAAAGCCCATACAAACAGATACTTTCTGAAAACATTTTATATAACTGCATAGTTTAATACAAAATACATCACAAAATGACCACTTCCGTGACAAAAATTCAGTCTTCAATAACCCTGAGGGTCATGCCTAATAAACATGACATTTGTACAAGACCTGAGAATTGTATTTACTTTTACATGCTATTGATTTTACCATTGTTTTTATACATTCATTGTTTCTTTAGTACATCACAGGCAATACAGAGCTTGTTTCTTCAGGGGAGGGGGCAGGTAGGTTTGGTGAAACAAACTTTGTAAAAAGACCACCGGAAATTTCAAAGCTAAACATTCTATGTTCGCCATGTTACATTTCAGAATAACTAGCTTGTTTTATCTCATAACATGCAAACAATGTCACGGCACTAACTACATGCCTTAATCAGCACAAGAAAGTTGAACAAAACAGATAAATTCTGGAAAATATCAGAAAAATGTACAAGTCTGTCTTGAGAGGAAATCATTTTCAATCCTTCAACATAAAACAGTTATGACATAAAAGCACAAAGGAATTTGTAGAGAAAAATAATAGAAAGAATCACATGTGGAACACTTTCTAACCTAAATCTACCCAGGTAGTATGCTGCCCCTGCTGAAGTTAGTGGCAAAGCTGACAGGATTTCACCATGCACACCTGATTTTAAATTAGTCACTTCTGCTGCTTGTTATGATATATACACGACACCACTTCAAGGCTCTGATGACTGACTGACTCAGTGTCACTTTCTTACAGATACTTAAGCTGTACTTCTCTTTCAGTACACAGCACCAATGGAATGGCTCACACCCTTGCACTCAAAGTCAACACTTCAATAGTTTTCACATGGAAAAACAGAAAGATATAAGCAAATAAAACAATTAGCAGAAGGCTATATAAGTGTATGTTAAAGCAGACTACCTTCCTTAATTTACACCACCTCCTTGCTTGTCACTACTTAAATTGCACCAATTTTGACTCTTTCCATTCTCTCATACAATGTAGGAAGTGGGAGTAATTTTGTCTAAAGGAGTCTAAGTGAAGACATCAATCACATCTCATATTGGCCGAGAACTTTAAAAGTATAAGGAGAAAAGGGAAAAAACTCTTGAGAAAATCTATGCTGAATATTTTAAAATTTAATGCAGGATATTTAGTTATACATTTCTTTCTTTTTAAGAAGCTGCAGGTTAAAACCTGTGTGTCTTTGAAAATATCAATCTGTCTATTAAGGATTCATAATTTTTTTAAAGTGAAAAATGTCATATTTAATTTTTTGTTTTGCCTCTTTCATTAAAAAGAAAGTGCATATGTGTAAAAATTATGTACTTCTGACATGAAGTAGAAATACACATCAATTTTAGGCAGAGAATCCTACGTATTAGTAACAAACCCATATACATTTTCAAATTCACCAAGCACACTTCAGAATCACATTTATTTAAAAGTTTGAAAATACCCTAAATCAACATGAGAAAAAGCAAACCTAAATTACTGGACTTGAAATCTTCAAAGCCAGAGACCCGTCCATACTATATTCTACATATGCCTAATCCATCTGTAAGAAGTACAAATTGTGATTTCCTTGCTTTGGATGTGCTTGAAATTTCAATTCCTCTTGGGAACACTCTTGGGAAGAATGTCCCATACTGGCAGACTACAGATGAGGTGCACCTTTACCTGCACCTTTACCTACCTCAGAACACCTCTGTTTTTTTCCCCACATGATTTCCAAAAGGACCGCCTCCGGAAGACGGCATTTCCAGGAGTGACGTTATAGCTTCAGAGACGTTGTTTCGATGGCACTGCAATGTCATTCCCAGAAGTACTACCTTCTGGAGGCGGGTCCTGGTGGGAATGATATCACAGTATGACAAGTATTGTCAGGGTACCTGCAGATAGGCACAGAGACTGGGTAATAAAATGCCTGCACATCCGTAGTTAAAATGAAACTGCATTCTTCTGCTAGCTACTCTTACCTTATCTCTTTGGTCTTCTTGAAGACAGGTTTCCCATCATTTTCTTCCCCAATATCAAAAAGATCTGAATACAGCTCCTTATTTTTGTGGTCAACCTGGAAGAGTGCACACCTATCTGCATTCACCAGGTTCTTTGCATATATCTACAGACAAAAAGAACAAACTAGAGTTAATGGTCTTGAGCTAGGTTATCTTCAGTCATTCATCTCATAAAAAGAGAAGTCCACTAGGAATGATGTTTGAAGGAGCATCTACCTTCCACAGCAATCTTTCAGGATATAAATCAAAATGATAGTGTGTCTTTTATTCAGTGTTTTCCGGTAAATTAGTGTTGTTCTCATTGAAAAATGTAGGAATATTTTTAGAGGCTTGAACATTTGTTGAAAGAAAAAAAGGCTGTTCAGAGAAGTAGTTGAGCGACCATTCCTGGAGGTATTTAAAACACGTGTAGATATGGTAGACTTGTTTTAGTGGTGGACTAAAGGGGGGAGAGCTAGGTTTACAGTTGGACTTAATGATTAATGAAAAAGGTATTTTCCAACCAAAACTATTCTATTATTCTATTACGTCGTATTTCAAGTATAAGGAATGCTTTTCAAAATGGTACCTTTCCTCCCTTTGTGTTTAGATGTTATTGTCCTTCACTTGATTTTAAATACATAGAATACAGCAAGACTCAAAAACGGTTGTGGTTTTTTTGGTCTTTATCTTCAATACAAACATATTGGTACTGAATGCTCAGCAAAGAAAGACATAACAGAGAGGCCAATGTTTGTTTCTAAATAAGCTAGATATGTCCTTTCATGCATAGCAATGAATAAATAGGGAAGATTATAAGTGTCATTATGGATTGTCCTATGCAGTGGCATAGGAAATGGCTGTGCCTACCTGATGATAAGGCCAGTTCTTGCCCAAAAGCTGAGACTTAGTAGTTCTACATGAATTAATCAAAGCCCACAGGGTACCACCCATAGTCAAGGAAGTACCACAGTACAGCAACAGACTTGTATGGTCTCTACCATACTTTGAACCAGCTACTTTTATCTTAACAAAACTAACTGCGAGTTAGTACTGATTGTCAGAACAGTATCTTGTCCCGGGAACAGAGCAGCTCTCCACTGAAGTGTTTCTCAATCATACAATGGACTTTTTGAGAAGAAGAGGAAAGCGTGAACCGAAGTTGAACAAGGATCACTGTGTTAAAGATGCCATACAGTCACCTGCTCTATCTAATTCAGATACATCTCCTATGTTTCTTATCTGCCCAGAAAGCATAGTAACTGCATGGTAGAGCATGATCTGAGGTGGATCTCAGTCAACTTTTTAATATTGCATATAATAGCTACCTAGTCGTTCAGCCACAGAAGGAGGCTGACTACAGCTTGGCATGCAATGCATTCAGGTCGCATGTCTGTAGAATTCTCAAGACTCCCATATGAATGAATTAACTTTTCCCCTACTTCTCTCTTGGTTTCAAAAAATAAAAATAAACCCCTAAAATATTTCATTTCATATAAATGCAAATAGAAAAAAGTTAGCTCTTGACAGAAAAAAAAAACAAAACTAAGAGAAAATAAAACATTGGTTGGGAGACTCTAATTCTGTGTCCTATGAGCTGTAATAGAAACTGCACAAAACCCATCTATGCCAACTCTACAAAACCTGGAGTGCCCTCCTGTACCAGCAGAATCTGTATTTGGGAAGATTCTGTTACTTTCTACTCCATTGACTTCATCAGAACAGTAGAAAGAAAGACTGTGTGCTAAGAGTTAATTTTGTGAAGTATTTACCATCTAGAGTATTAAGACGTTTGAAGATCTTGACCACTCACAACATTTATTCCTTTTGCTCAAAACAAAATGAATATAAGCTGTGCCAAAAAGGAAAAAAGGTCAGTAAATGCTTCTTTACACCCATTCAGAAACTGTAACAGATTTCTTCAAAAAAGCACAATGTTGATTTTATTCAATCCAACTTTTGCGTATTAATGCATATGACTCAAGAACTTACCTTGGTCCTAACTCATGCTTTTCAAAAATAACTGCTTGAACACTACTAACTGAGAGAAGTAGTTAATGGAATGAGAAAGTCTTACTTCTGTAAAGCCCAAGCTCAAATTCAGGCCAGTGGTTGAGGGCAATATCAGTACAAAACATATGATCTGCATTGGCAGTAAGAAGGCTAGGGACCACCTTTTGGGAAGGTTGTTTGTAACAACTCAAGCATATTTTTAAGAAAAATTTCAAGGCAACTTGAACTTCTGCTTCCTCTCCCTGCTTGTATATTCAAGAACACCCTTATACCACTAACTTCACTGAGGGAGTTTAATGAAAACAAAAAAAAATGCTAAAATCCCTGCACTTTTTTCTTATTATTACAGAAATAAATAAAACTCGTAAGTGTAATCACCAAAGGGTGAAGGAGTGAAGTGAAATGAAGTTCCACTCTTTTCTCACTGTGAGACACAAAATAAGTCACATAATGATAAAATCACACTCCAATAAAATAGCAATAAGTGTGCAAACACATAATCCAATATCTTTGGCCCAGGAAACAGCAAACTGCTACAGCTTACAAAGGAAGCTGAGTATGAAACACCTGTGCAGGTTAAAATGCAGAATCATGATGCAGCCAAGTGTTGGAAAAGAAGATGAAGGAGTAAGTGCATTTTACTGCCAATTGTGTTTTCCACTAGACCTCTCTTCATAGGGAAGAACAGAGAAGAATATAAATATTTGTTCTCAGTGTCATATGTTATATTACACCAGTTCTTTTAAATGTTAAGCTATTTTTAAGCAGCACTTAAATGGGAAAACTCAAATGTTCAGAAATGTCTCCAATGTGCAGAATTCTTGACTGTGTACTAACTAGAATAAAACAAACACTGCAGAATATTTTCCATTACCAACTCAAGCTTCTAAATAAAGTCACCTTAATGCTATTTGCATTCTAAGTTTGTCATCTTTGAACAGTCTAGCTAAGAATATATATCACTTGAAACAAGCATCAGAGTAATATTGGACAGCAAATTTTCAAATATGCTAATTTAAACAGTAGTATCACTGACCTGACTAAGATTAACATTCAGGAAAAAGAAGTGCAGTACGCAATGAACGTGCCTAAAGCTAAAAAGCATAATTCAACACTCAAAATTTGCCATAGGCAACCAGTCCATATGTATTTGCAAACACTATTCAGAAAATAATTCTGAATTCAAAATTGATTGATAAAATTATAATCTGTTTCTGAACCGTACTTTCATTCATTGATGAAAAGTCTTAGTTACTTGAATGTACTTGGCTTTAGTGTTTTTTTTATATGACACTGACTGACTCTGTCACTCTAGTTATGGATGTAAACACTTTCGCCAAGCAAAAGGGATGTCATATTTTGCACATCTCATTCAGCAACTGGAACAAACACTCTGGGAGCAATGTTTGACCTGTAGTCCTTCCTAGAGACAATAACTTCTTCAGGAGTGTTTTGCAGCATGTAGCAAATTCAGTTTAGGAAAAAGGAATCAATAAAACAGGCTGAAATAAAAACAGAAGCCTTTTTGTTACAATTTTCAAACCTTCTCTAAAACACAATAGTAACTATTTAGTTCAGAGGCAGCCAGGTTTTATTACTCATGAAACCTGCAAAATGAAGTTGTTGTGACAATGAAAAACCAAGCTGACCTTTGCCACCTTCTTCCATATAGACAGGTTAATACTGTTTGTATTACGTGTCCATTATAAACAGCTCATGTATTTTCACAATTGAATGTGTTACTTCAAGGAGAAGAGAATGAAGGACTTTAATAACTAAGACTAATAAACTTAGAAGTGAAAAAAAAACAACTTACCATTATATGTTCAAGTAGAGAATCTATTGCAACTATATTATCAAAATAAGTTCTGCAGAGAAAGAGAAGTCAGTAAATATTGGCATTTAGTCAAATACTTCTCAAATGGCTGTCGTGGGCTCTTGTTTCACAACTGCTTAACAATGGAGCCCAAGTAAGCGAGGACAAACCTCTGCACCCTGAAAATCACTGACTGGCTTGCTATAGCACAAGGGAATTGAAAAATGGTCCTAGCTCTGTTCCTTTAAGCCCTTATTCTACAATGACAAAATTGTAGAATGATCTCTATACTGTGTAAAATTTTCTCTGTAGAAAAGCAAAAAAGACTATCAAACATTGCATACAATGGATTTAACAGATCCCTGCTAAGCATTACCAAGAAGGTATCAAAATGCTTTGGAAGCCTTTACACACTGAAAATTTTAAAGGGAGAAACAAAAAAAACCAACAAAACAAAACCCAAAAAAAGGCAATTCAGAAGAGTAAGAAAAGTTTTTCCTTTGCTGATATATATTATCTACACGCTTTCAGCATGTCTCATTAGGTTTATGCATAAAGGACTATGCGCTGAGAACTACTGAAAACTACGTATTGTAGCTAAACTCACGTCATATCATTCAACCCTTAATGCTATTTAAATGCAGCACTTTATAAAATTCTTACTGAGTCTTCTCTATTAACCCAGGTGTGGCATGTGGAAGTTGCAGAAAAAGACTGATCTTTGACTTATAAAAAAAATTAAAAATGTATCTCAGTGTCACAGCAAAGTTGTAACTGTCCAAGGACAGTCAAGAACATTGAAAGATAAAGGTCAAAATTATTAGTAAAGTAAGTCTGAACCTTCCACATGCCGAGTCTTAATAACCCTCAGATTACAATGTTCCCAGCAGACAGAAAGACATTGTCCCATGGCCTTGAACATATATCTACAGCTCAGTTCTGTTTGGAGCTAGTGGAAAGGAAATATATAATAGACTAGTCTTACATTGTCAGGGACATGAAGAGGTGGAGCACTGCATACTATGCCCTTTCTAAAATGTTACAGAACATGTCCCAGTGACATTGCATACTAGCAATTTCCTCAGTGAATAGGAAAGCTTCTTTCCATGTAAGAAAAGGTACAAATATTGTCTAAGAGGAAACTAGTTATTATCTTGCTAGTGCAAGTCTTTACCTTCATGTTCATGAAGTTGCTATTAAATGATATCTCAGTTATCTGGATCTAAACGTAGGGTTTCTTTTTTGTTAAAAACTAAATTCTAGCAATTGATAATGCTGTATGAGAGGGTTTTTTACAGAAATACTATTAAATATTTGCAGAATTTATTGTAATTATTATTTTAAATGTTGAAATGCTAAAATAATTGCAAAGCTATTTAAAACAATCTCAGTATTATGTACCAAGAGTAAATTGCCAACCCATAAATTTTGGTAGATTAATCCAAAGTTAGCTCAGTACAGATGTTAGCAAAATAAAAGCTCTCTGAAAAGGAAAAAAATGGTACAAGACACTGCAGAAAGTGGGTAGCTCTGGCAAGGGAATGATGAGTGCCCTTTAGGAGACACAATCTGAACCTAAGCTAAAATAAAAAAATAAAATAAAATAAAAAAAGGTCATCCCTGAGGAAAAAAAGCTAGGAAAAACATCTGGATACAACCAGCTTGCCTGGCAAGGGGTAGACTCCTCCCTGTGCTGTATCACTCCCCATTCCAGGAGGGTCAACTCAGCTGCCTGCATTCCTGAGCAATGGCATAGGAATCTTGGATGTCCTCTAATCTCATCAGTTTTAGAATTATTCATCAAGAGTCACAAAAGTGTTTGTAAAAGCAAAAATCTGAGACATGTAATTTTTCCATGGTATCATCAGTCCTTCGAGATGCACTTAGAGATTCTTTAACCAGCGAGTTATGCACCTCAGACTGTGATTTACCAAAAGTACAATTTTGGTTTGTCTGCTAATCTTTTGGCTATCTCTACTATTTAAAGATGCTAATAGCAGCAACAAAGAAAAAGGCATGAAGGAAGAGCAGATCACCTTAGACAGTAAACTGACTTTGCAAGCCTAAGCCCAAGCTTTCATACTATCTTTCATACTAATGTGTTTTCTACTTAATCATGCAATTATTGTGGCAAGAAATTTAAAGAAAACATACTACTAAACAGTTGCAGTCTTTGAAAATGAAAACAGAGTCTCCAGAAAATGCAAGGGAAGAAAAACTGTTTGGCAGCCCTGTTTCTTCACATATCTGCATCTGTGTGTGCATACATACATGTCGAAAATAAAGGAGCGGGAAGCTAAAGGAAGCTCACTAACTTCTCAAAGTCCTTTACAACCTTCAAAAATTGGTCATAAAAAGAGATGGCAAGCCTATTTTTCATGGTCTCAAAAATTGTAATGTTGAACTTTGACAGATGAGGGTGGAAAACCGGCAAAAATCCCACGCAAAAGACCACAAGAGTAAACAAATTCTGTAAGGTATAATCAGATGTTACACTTCCTTCTCCACCATCACCAAGAAAGAATTCTAACAGGTATACACTGCTGCCACACACACCATTTGTTCTTGTCCCTGTGCTGAAGTTTGCCCACCTTCACACCTGCTTGTAAGTTATAAAGTAAAACACAGGTAATTCAAAGAGCTATTTCAGAAAAGCTCATCAAAATAGATTTACAAGATTATAGTGCAAATCACACTTACTTTGATACATCGAGCAAGAAGTCATTCAGTTCAGTCTGCTTGGCAAGGCCCCGGCACACCTACAATTACAGATCATGTTATCATTATCTCCAGAAGAACACTGAAGTCAGAGGGAAACTGAAGTCATGCATTATAGACATTTAATCTGTATGAAAAAATTACCAATACTAGTATATACGTATGTGCTGGGTCACAACAACCTCATGCAAAGCCACAGGCTTGGGCAAGAGTGGCTGGAAAGCCGTCCAGCAAAAGAGAACCTGGGGCTGCTGGTTGACAGCTGAATGAACAAGAGCCAGCAGTGCGCCCAGGTAGACAAGAAGGCCAACAGCAACTTGGCTTGTATCAGCAATAGTGTAGCCAGCAGGACTAGGGAAGTGATTGTTCCCCTGTACGCGGCACTGGTGAGGCCACACCTCATGAACTGTGTTTAGTTTTGGGCCCCTCACTACAAGAACAACACTGAGGTGCTGGAGCAGGTACAGAAAAGGGCAACAAAGCTGGTGAAGGGTCTAGAACACAAGTCTTATGAGGAGTGGCTGAGGGAACTGGAGATGTTTAGTCTCTCTGCAAGTACCTGAAAGGAGGTTGTAGCGAGATGAAAGGTTTAGATTGGCTATTAGGAAATATTCCTTTACTGAAAGGATTGACAGGCATTTGAACAGGTTGCCCAGGGAAGCAGCTGAGTCACTATCCCTGGAGGTATTTAAAAGATGTGCAGATGTGGTGTTTAGGGACATGGCTTAGTGGTGGACTTGGCAGTGTGCTAGGCTAACAGTTGGACTTGATGATCTGAAAGGGTCTTTTCCAACACTCTGAACTGTATTTTTACTTCACCTAACTGCATACTCTGTATCTAAAGTATAATTGTACACCTCTATATTATCAGAGCAAGCACTGAGATCAAAAAAAGACAAGACTCTACTGTTTGTACCTTTTACAAAATAAAATATAACTCAGAACTAGTAACATCTTTCACCTGTGCAATGCAGATATAAATAAATATGCAAAATATCACAAACTATATCCACAAGCTTTACGTTTGCATATAATTAGGTAACCAGGTACAACTTCTTAAAATAAACCTCTTTATAAAGCCCAGCTGTCAGTCTGCTAGGTACAGACCAATGCCAGATCAAAACTCTCCAATTCTTCTAATGCAAAATCTTGGGAAGGGTAAGCCTTCTCCTTAGCAGAAAGTGGTAAAATAAAAATAAGCAATGGATAGGCTTAAACTAAACTCCTTTATTCTGTTTTGTTAGGTGTGAAAGACTTCTCAGTAACAGAGGGAGTCATTGCTAGTAAGTGAAGCTACAACTGCATGCAATTACAATTCTACTAGATTATAATAGTCTATGCAAGTTAAATCTGCCTAAACGTGCCACAGCAAATGACCATCCTAAACAAAGTTACCAGGTAGCAAATATTAGAACCTAGAAAAGAAAAGCAGGAAGCTTTTTGTGGATCTTCTACCAAGTGTATGAAAAACACCCTTCCTCCTGTGAGTTGACGAAAGAACCTATTTTAGCATCTTCTGTGAATTGGCAGAATATGTTTAGTTTCAGTGTTACAGCTGTTAGCTGAAGTCACAAAATTCATTAGCAAAGATTCTGGGGTTCGCTAGACCAGCTTGCATTGTGTGCAGCTTCATTAGGCATTCAGCTAGGGACAGCATGAAGCAGCCTTAGTGTGAGTAGCTACAGGACCATGAAGCAGCTAGCGAGGATGGCTTAATGTTGGCTTAGCCAGCAACACGTAATAATCTCATATTGAATACCAGAGCAGGTGGAAAGCAACCAGTTGACCTAGCAGTTGCCTTCTTATAAGGAAAAAACTGCAAAGTTTTTATAATTACACTTCAACAATTATTTATCTATTTTGTTAAATTTTCTTTTACCTTTAGTAATAACATGGTTGCAAGTGAGGAAAACTAGCTCAATGAAACCCAGAATCTTAGCATTTTTCCCTCACACTGAGCAAAGCAGCTTGAATCATTGTTTTAGTAGTGACTTCTACTTTAATTCGAGCATAATCCATGTTTCTACTAATCAGGTTTTGGAATAGGGGTTACACAACAAAAAAACGAAAAACTACCCACACTTACTTGTACTTGATGTATTGCTACTGAAGCCCATGCAAGATTTGCTGTTGCTACCTGAAACCAAAAAGAAGAAACTAACTCTGAAGAAATCCTGAAACCTGCGTATCAGTTATGTGCTCATTTTCTATATCTAGCTGCTACATAAATCAAATGAGCTGTTCTAAACAGGCAGGCGGTATAACTTGTGGGAATATATAGTTTGTGAAAGTATCAGTATACTTGAAAATGTTTCAGTTTTAGTAAGGTACATTCAGTCACAAGAGAACAATCCTCATTTTTGGTATCCAAAAATGCTTACCAGTGCTTTTCAGAAGTGGTGTTGGGAACCCATCAGCTCAGAAATGCAACAACAAAAACATTCCATAAGCCAAAGGTTTAAAAAATTACATGATGTACATTGTTGAAAGACATCTACCATAGGAATAAAATATTCCATAACATCTTTCTGGGACTGCATCTCTTCAGCCACAGGTCTTTCCATCTGTAAGCAGGCACTGTGTCTTTCACTACCATTTTGGTAGCAAAAGAACCAGACCTGATCCCTCAGCTTAAGACTAGTGTTTAAAGTATGACAGTTTCCAGGCAACATTTCAAACAAATGTCATGTAAACAGCAGTTATCTAAGATGTGCTACCATGCATAATCTCCTGTCCTTGAAACACAGAAGCTTTATAGGAACACAGAGGACAGAAGTACAAGAGGTCTGCTGCTGAATACCCTCCTAAGTTACTTTTTAAATTTATTTTTTTTTAAACGGAACGCACTGTGCACATTTTATAAAAGCTGCTAATGGTATCCAAAGGCTTTCTGAAACCTGAAAATGAAAAGAATGCTTTAGAACATTTAGAAAGTGACCTTAAAATACTTTTAATTTACTTATAAAATACTTCTATTTAGCAGCTAGTCTTTTCCAAGTAGAACATTCATGAACTTCAGTTACATAGGTTATTTCATGTAACATAAAAGATTCATAATCACACAGAACAATGCATATTTAAGACCTATATAAATTTTAGATTGATTAGGATAATTTAAAATATTAATATATTATGTTAAAGCAGCATAATTAATAAAGCCTGGTTTTGTATTAATCTCTTTGCTCTTTGTTCTGTGAGTAGGTACACTGGCACCACCATCCTAATCCAGGCCCCTATGATGACTTCTGCTTACTGGTGAAAAAATACCAGGTGCAGCACTGAGGCTGAAGCAACACTGACTGCTCAACTGTTATACACCTATCAGCATCGCATGTATGCTAGGCTACTTAGGCCACTGATAGACAGAATATATCATTGACAAATAACTGCTGTTTTGTCCTTTGGGAGGGCTACTTTTAATATCTCTTGTCTGCACATTTCCTGTTCTTTTCACAAGAATAATTCCTGTTCAGTACAGCTAAACTGCTCCACCGCGCATTTTGTAGCACTATCAAGACAACAGACTTGTCTGGAACACCCCCTATTTTGTCCTAATCTATGTGTGCAGGTTCCCTTCCCTGCAGAAGGGTACAGCGAGAAAGGAATGGTACATTCATCTTAATATAAGAGCCATCTTCATGTGTAGATGGGACAGAACAAGGATTCTCACCCTGACATGACAGCTAAAATGCACTCCTAACACCTTTATTTTAGCTGACAGGCTTTGAGACACCTGCTCAGTTTTCAAATTTGTATGTACTTGGGTAACAATCCATTACTTTGGATTGACAAATGGAGATGTATGGACAACATAACTACACAGGCCTTACATAAATACAGTAAACCATGCAGTGTAGAGATCAGTCATGGGAACTGAAGAAGATGGCGATGATTGGGAATATCTGGATGGGGAAGCGTCAGAAGGAAAAAAAAAAAAATGTCAGAAGAGAGCTTTATAAATGACACCTAGATTAGCAGGTCATCCAGGTACCAGCACATCTGCACACAGTTTCTAAGGACATCTAGGTCAGCAGACAGATCTGGACGAAGGGATCTAGTGCAACCTCAGTAAATCTGCAGATGACACCAAACTTGGCAGAGGTGTTGATGTTCCTGAAGGTAGGAAGGCTCTACAGCAGGACCTTGGCAGGCTGGATGAGTGGGCCAAGGCCAACTGTATGAGGTTCAACAAGGCCAAGTGTTCGTAACCTGCACTTGGGTCACAATAATGCCATGCAACGGTACAGGCTTGGGAAGAGTGGCTGGAAAGATGCCTGGCAGGAAAGGACCTGGGGGTGCTGGTCAACAGCTGGCTGAACATGAGCCAGCAGTGTGCCCAGGTGGCCAAGAAGGCCGACAGCATCCTGGCCTGTGTCAGCAATAATGTGGCCAGAAGGACTAGGGAAGTGATTGTCCTCCTGTACTCAGCACTGATGAGGCTGCACCTGAAGTACTGTGCGCAGTTTTGGGCCACCCACTACGAGGGGGTTGGTCTATTCTCCCTGGGAACAAGCAACAGGGCAAGAGGAAATGGCCTCCAGTTGTGAGAGGGGAGGTTCAGATTGGATATTAGGAAAAATTTCTTTTACTGAAAGGGTTGACAGACATTTGAACAGGTTGCCCAGGGAAGCAGCTGAGTCACCATCCCTGGAGGTATTTAAAAGATGTGTAGATGTGGTGCTTATGGGCATGGCTTAGTGGTGGACTTGGCAGTGTGCTAGGCTAATAGTTGGACTTGATGATCTGAAAGGGTCTTTTCCAACCAAAAGTATTTATGAGTCTCTGAAAGGGCAGTGAGCAAATCTGATGAGTCACAGAGTTGGGACAGCCTATAGAGGCAAAAGATGTCAGCTCCCAAAGGCCAAATAAAATGTTAACCCAAAAGCAGCACATGGTTCTCAACCTAGAAACAAGGAGGCATACTCAACAGCTGGCATCCCTTGTCCTTCAAGTCGCTGCAAGGCATCCCAGAAAGATTACCTAAATACTTGCATCTCTGTGCATGACTCTGGGAAATACCAACTGGACACACAGATCTTGGCATCCGAGAATATGCAGATGTAAGAATGTGAAGGGAAAATACATGAAATCTTTTGCTTTATTTTTGCTTTAAAATAAAATAATCTTCCACTCCTATGAGACCTAGCATTGACTCTTGCTATACTGTTGCTACAATGTTGCAATATTATTTTTTACAATAGGGCTTATTCACTGAGAAGTCACAACAAAAAGTCAACTAAAAAAAAAAATTAAAATTAAATCTTTCTGTAGTGTAAAATAAAGCTTTATTGGAAAGTTAAAATTGAGACTCAGGATAACTCAGTAGTGTCATTTTTATATTAAGTGGTTTTCATTTTTTTTATATTTGATTTACACTTTTATTTCATTCATCTGCTCTGTATAAACTTCTCTAACAACTCTGTATTGAGTTTGTAATTGATAAAGAGATTTTCAAGCTGTTTTTTCCACAAAAAAATAAAAGGAGAAATTCCTGAGGTGTCCTTGTTCTTGTTTATGTAAATTGTACCTCCTGTGACTGAAAATACAAATAACTACCTATTTTTTTCAATAATTAATATTAGATGAGAACAAAAATCAAGTATTAAAAAGGTAAAAAACACATGAATAGAGTGAGAGAAGAAAGTCGGGGAAGGGAGTGGCAGGGAGGGGTAGGTGAAGTGCTGACTGTTGAGGCAAAGTGGGGAATGGTTGTGCGTGAGCTCACCTCTTGGTGACTTAGGTGGAAAGCTTCCTTGCCCCAGTGACGGTAAAGTTCCAGGATACCAATCAGATCACCAATTGCAGTGACAATTGGCAAACACAGAACAGATTGGATACGAGTCCCTGATTCCAGTCCAGTACCTTTGGGAAATCGCTCATCCTAGAAAGCATAAACATAATCTGATAAAACGTAAATATTGTAGCATCAACATAAAAGATACACTGACATTTTCCTCCCTCTCCTGGCTGATCCAATCTGCAGGAAAATGATAACATTCAGTAAAACTTGTATCTCTCAAACTAATTTACACACAATATTAAGACATCTGCAAAAAAAAAAAAAAAGCAATAAAAAAGTCTCAGCATTCATTTACATACACAGATGCCCTTATTGATGTAAAGTCAGAACTAGCTGTGATATTAGACCCAGCTTTTCGTTGATTTTTATAATACATGATCTCTAATCTCACAGGCAGCAAAACCAATATTTCATTGCTAAGGTCAGCCCAGATTAAGTAAAAACCCCAACAAACAGCACTACGCCACTACCTCTTCCCCTCCTAAAAAAATCCAAAAGCATTTATAATCATGAAGCAACCTGCTCTGATTTCAGTGTTACCAAGCTGACAGCAGTGCTTGCAACAAAACAGAAAGCAAAACCTGAGGCTGAAGCTTTAGATGATCCACAACTTTAATCCTCAATCATCTCCTGACAAGGAAAAAGTGTTCCTAAAAAACTATGCATGAGTGTCAGAATATTTTCTTTCCTTTGCTGATACATCCTGAATAATCTGGTGCAAAAGTTGAGGAGGGGAAAAAAAAAAATAAATAAAGAGTTAAATAATCCTACCAGCTGCTTTAGAAGGCCCAAATTTGTAAATTTAATCTGAATAGGGGATGTTCAAAGCTTTATAGCTTCAGTTCCCCAATGTAAGAAAACTCACAAAGACGTGAGAAATCACCTGGCTGTTAACAGGTAGTAAGGCAGTAACTAGTCAATGTGAAGTGTGCAAGACCCACTTTAGTGTTCATCAGTCCTTCAGTACTTGATTCGTAACACACGCTCTCTGAAGACTGTGCTTAGGCATGACAGTTGCTCCTTCACGGCTGATCAAAATCTCTCCTTACTCAAATAAAATAGCAAATAATCTCTACCTTAGTTACTGAGATGACAATCAATCTGAATGGCTAAGTACATAAGGCAGACAAAAGAGAGTGGGAAGCACTTTGCAACAAGAGCCTCCTGCTTTTACTTTTCAGTTCTGTTCTTCTCAAAAGACGGGCTGGCAAGTCTATCTACAAGAGCTTCCCTTTCACTGTTGAGATGCTCCCAAAGTCACACAAAGGCAAACTATATCACCAAAATTAATCTGTTTGGTCAATAATCCCCTGATAACTGCAAAGCAACAAAAAATATAAAAAATCCCAACTACCCACCCCCTAATTTTATTATTAATGTAAAATCAAAACATACAACCCTCATACACAAATATATCATTATATTCATTGGAAATTATGAATATAAGTTTTAACCTCTATATGTGACTAAAAAAGCCTAACAACATAAAATCTTTATAGTTCAGAGTGTATAGAAAGCATTGTCTGTTATGACAAAGAAAGTGGCCTTTTGTTTTTTGTGGTTCTGTTTAAGTTTAATCACATAAGGCATTTGGTATTTTGTTTATAGCCAGAGTTTGCCCAGTAAGGGTTGTACCTTTTTTAACATTTTTTTTTTTTAAAAATAGAGACAGCAATGTCCAGTTTTGGCCACAGTATCCAGAGACTGTTATTCTGAACAGAACTCAAAAGGATAGAAAACACTGAAGAGAGAATTTAAGCTTTCTTAGTGTTCTCATAACCAGTTGACCATAAAGTGTTCTCATAAAGTACAGTTTAAATACCAGATTCATACAATTGCATAGATGTGACTAGCAGATGAAGTTTTCAAAAAATAAAAAGGACAGATATATAGAATATAAAAAATTACTATAATATAATTTTAGGATTTTCTGAATCCTTTCATTAATCCTTTCATAGGCCTGAAATTTGATATCAGTTACATTTGTGTGCCTTTCATGTAGGTCTACTGATATAAATATTCTGGCTTGACATTGGTGCAACCAGAGATCAAAATCCTTTCTAATTGCAAGAATTCTGATTGATATTCCTGACAGTGTGAGCAATGCCTCATTAAATCAAACTGTGATTGACTACATGGAAGTCATCTTGTTTGGGATTAGCACATTTTGTATTTCAAGAACAGAAGGACAGGAGATTTGGCTGATAGGGTTTTTTTCTCTCCAAGTGGGTATGGTACCATTACTTCCCCTATCTGACAAACAGGGGAAAAAAAAAAGTTAAAACAAACACACAAAAAAAAAAAAAAAAAAAAGATAAAAGCAAAAAACAAACAAACAAAAAAAAAAGGCAAAAAAACCCCAACACAACCAAAACCAATAACTGTTAAATTTAAAAATAAATGAGATATTTGGAAATTATTCTATCATGCTAATCCAAACTCCAATTCATTTTCTCGATAGCAAGACAGATTTAAATTCTATAGTTATACATTCAGCTCTGTAAACAATTCAGCATCAAAATATTCATTCTAAGAACATGCTGTAATCATCTCTTTAAAAAGAGAAAGCTTTTTACCCTCAGAATATCTTTTACTAACAACGTTTTTCTGGATCTGGCTACATAAGCAGATACTGTAGTGCCATGTGCAATGGGCCCCGCAGGAATGAGCCGTGGTTGTCCTTCTTTAGCTCCTGGTGGTGTAAATACACACAGACTCTAGTCAGAAGGAAAAAAGAAAAGAAAAAAAAAAAAAAAGAAAAGAAGAATGCAATTAGAAAACAGGGTTACTTTTACAGAGTTACTGTGCTAGCTCTATAGTGTGTAATGGACTGAATAAAATAGATAACATAGAGAAACAAAGCCTTTGTCAACAGAAAGCAGTTGGATAAACTCCCCTTAGCTGTTTTGAAATCTTAGGGAATCCCACTCTAAAGTCACCATTCAGACAGTGAGTAACTCTTCTGCTAAGCTGCCATCACTGGTGTTAGGTTTGGACTGCATTACCTTGAACACACAGTTCACCGCAGCAAGATTCACAATGGAAAATATGACCTTATAAGAGAAAGATTATTATTCTTTTTTGTCTCTGGTGCTCTCATTTATTTATTTCAGTAGAAAATACTCAAAAAATAGAGATAATATTTAAATTTCTTGTTTATCTCATCTCAAGGAAAGGTAATTTCAAAATTACACTAACAGTCTCTTTTCTGGAATCCAAGTGACTGCATTTGTTCCCTGCACTAGAAGAAACATCTGTCTCACATGATGCTTAACTAAAACTCTCATTTGTTGAAAAGTCAGGTTTGACAACATTCATATAATGAAATTCATTCAGAAGCATCTGATAATTGTTCTGTAACAAAAATATAAAGTGAACAGCACCGGAATATATGGGATTGAAAATACTATTTTACAAAAAGAAAATTAAACACACATATAAACACATATAGTGTGGTTGAACTGCAGATCCTTTGGTATGCCAAACACTCTTCATATCTAAAATTTAATATATTTTTTGGGTAAAAAATAAACTTCATGAAAAAATAAAGCTTTCCTTTATTGTTCCCCTCAAGACAACCCAAAAATAAGCTGTCTGTTAGTGACAATAGATTCTAAGGTCACAAAACCACAAAAATGCCCAAACCTGTCTCCAATGCAATTAGGAAGAAAACTTTGTTTTACAAGCAAAAAGTTTCATCTTATGTTTCATTTTTCTACCTTCATCTTATTACATTAATTAATTTGCATCTTCTAACGCTACAGAATCAAAGACTGAAAATTTCAAAGCACTTGTCAGTGTCACACCCTATTCAGCACAGCAGAGCTATTACACTTTAAAGACAAAGGGAATTCAGGCACATGAAGAAGAAACGAGGTGGCAAATGTTACAGTGAGTGTTGGAGCAGCAGGGATCAAATCTGTATTTCAAAGATTACATCTTACTGTCCTAATCTCTTGAGGCATCCCTCCTTATATGTTCTTAATAATAACACAACTAAAACACCACCTTCGAGACACGGCTTCTCTTGGCAAACTGTGTTTTCTTTTTTACTATAAACAATGATCTAATTTATTTCACTGATAAATTTGTAAGACCAGAAGTATATAGAGAGAGCTCCTGCAGTAACTTTACTGCTAAATAGCCATGTGGTTTTAAAGTATGAACTTAAAGTATATGAACTAAGATGAAACATTTTAAGCAAAGATCCTTGCTAAGAAAATAGAACACATATAATGCAAGAGAGCGATGATAATGCCACTATACAATGCATTACTAACATTCCTGGTAAGAATGGCCAAGAATGGTCACTACTGTCTACTAATTCATTTTACTATGAGAATTTGCTTTCGTTAGGGCTGCTGCAATGGTCAATCACTCAAGATTCCACAATATCAACGGTTATAATTAATATTTATTACATCTAATCTATCTTCTATGTTTATCATTCACAAAGGCTTCTGTAATAGGAGAGAAAAGCAGGTGCATGAGTAGGCCAGATTCCAGGACGCAGAATCCAGCATTGCCTCGAAAGACCATACAAAGAACTTTTAGTTAATTCAAGACTAAGATTTCAGCTTAGGCTTAGCAGTAAGCAGGGAGTTTCACACCGGAATTGTTATTATTTAAATATTATGCCATTATATGCATATTTAATTCCCTGCAGAAAAATAATGATTAAAAAACAACCAAAAAAGCTAAAAAAATAATATGGGGGTTATTCATCTAAAAAATTAAGTGATATCTAGGCAAGATTAAATCAATGGCATTACTCTTATTTTGCTTTCCTAGAGCTGTGGGGGCAGGATCACTCTAACACCTGAGTACCTCACAATCTATAACTATGCATTATTACCACTCCCCTGTAAGCTGGGTGGTGGCACTACCCTCATTTTACAGATGGAAGCTACAATGAACATTTCGTATTAATATAGTTATTTTAACTGGGGCTCCAATTACCATATGATTACAAATTTGATTACACAGCCTACTACGTGCCTGCAATGCAACTTAGAGCTAGAGCAAGGCAAATGGATCACAAGACAATAAAAATTCAGGTAAGAAAGATAGGAGAATTCAGATATTGATAATTACTGGTCTGGGCCCTGTGCAATTGGGTAAATTACTAAACAGGGGCTGTTTTCTAGCACAGAATATTAAAGATACAATATATATATGAAAATTCAGCATCTACTGCCAGCTGTAGAAAATGAAGAGATGATACAAGGTGTATTCTATCTTAATTATAACTTTTTTTTTATTTCTTTACGATGTGTGAGGCACATCATAACCCTCATACTAAACAATTCCAAAAATAACATACCAAAATGTTCAGAAACGAAGGAGATGCTAGGTAATGCACCATACACAGGTACACCTGCACCAATGGAGGTACATTAGCTGTAATGGAGAAAGTTGGACTTTACGCTGAGGGGAAAATAAATAGTCAAAGAAAACTGCAGAATTCACCACCCAGACAAGAGTCTACCCAATAAGGATCAGTAGTTCAATGTAGGGCACTGAGCAAGTTCAAAAGAAAAACACTCAAGAGCCAGACAAAATGAGTAACTGATAACCTGCCACATAATGTTTTAGCTCTGACAAGACATTTCAGCATATTTATTTCATATGTCTCATGCAGTTAGAAGGAAAGATCACTCTTCCATGAGCAGCTCTTCTGAACATACATGGTATTTACTCCATTTTTATATCTTGCATTATGATACAAGTGCATGAAATACTGAAATTTTCTGTTTATTCTGATTTCAAACCTCAATCTTATTTTTCAAATCCATTTACACTCACAGCTTCTTTAAAGAGTGCCCTTTAGCAGTGCAAGAATCTGGAAATGTTATTAAAGTTTATTTTCATATTCATTACAAGAATGTGCTACACAGAAAACCCACAAACACAAACAAAAAATCCAAACAGCAAAAAAATTAAATCAGTACATTGAATCTGCCAGAAAAAGCCTGCTCATTTACCAGAATAAAAAGCTCAATTTATTCCCACATTTTTTTTTATAATCTAATCAAATGCATTTAATTCTTAAATGAAAATTGAAGTTTCTCAGGTACTTCAAGCTTCAATTTAATGTTTTTACATGCACTTAAACAGAATGAAAAAGATCACCTTACTTAACAGAATCAAGAAAAGCACTAGAATATCTTTTTAAAGTACATTATTCTAATAAAATGACGGTTCCTGATTTATTTAAATCAGTGCTCTGATTATGTATATATATTTTATCAAAGAAATTAGTAAAAATTTTAGAATATAAAGGGCATAGAAATACTGAAATACATCTATTCACAAATGCTTGACCTGCTACACTATATGCTTATAGGAATAAGATTTATTAGTTAAAAAGTATTTTTTAAAGCAGGAACAGTAAGATTATAAAGTGTTCAATACTGAAAAGGTGGTTCATATTGCAGAATATTGCAAAAATTTAGGAGATTAAACACAATGTTTAAAATCTGAATTAGGTAGTCTAAGGGCTGGACTGAGTCAAATTAAATCAACAGTACACTGGAGACCAGAGTTCATCTTTTCCAAAGATCAACATTTTTATTCACAACATTCTTCTTACTTTTTATTAAGACGTATTTGGTTCTTTATGCCAAACTAGCAATGTGTGATGCTTAGCAAAGTAACTGTTATTTAAATTATATGTATAAAATGTCCTTTTCCATACCACTCTCCTGAGACATGCCCTTAACTAGATACAAAACTACACACAAATCTTTTTCTTCTTGGAAACAGCTTCTCAAAACAAAGTACAAGAACAGAAAAAAAATCAGAGGGGGACTTTTGACAGAAAACAAATAATTCACTTCTTTCACACACTCTTATTTTTCTCCAGAAATCTGTTGCTTTAATGGCCAAAAAACGGTGTTGACACCATGAAGTTTTGCCAGCAAAAGTGGCTTTCACCAGCCCAGTCTATCCTCTATCCTTCTTTCAGTTTGGCTGGTAGACCCCTCTCTGTTGCTAGCACCATGAAGTACAGCTGTGAATAGGCAACCCTATCTTGGAAAAAGCTCATGCACGTTATTTTACGTCCAGTGAGAAAAACATTTTGCAGAAGCAATGCCATTCTGCTTCTTACGGGAAATTATAAACCCCAGTGCTAAAGAACCACTTATCAGAAAACTCTTCAAACTACCCAGTGGGTTCTAAATTTGCCACTACTCCTGACTCTGTACCGGTAGAAAAGTATGACTGTGGAAGGACAGATCTCCACCTAGACCACAAACAACAACCTTTGACATCCAAAGCCATGGAACAATTGATAATCTTACACTGACCATGCAGCACTATTAAAAAGAAGAGCAAATTTTCTCATAACCATACATATGCTGCAATCAGGCCATAAACTTCTACTATTCCACATTCATTTTGTACACACCTAATAAACTTTCAAGATTGTTGATGATTCCATATATGATTAATTTAAATCTGAATGAGTTTAAGCATTTATTGACAATTAAGAATGTGGAAATTCCTTGAGTTTTGTTTGAGTTTTGTTAACAAAGCTTTTGAATCCTAAAAGTCATCAATGGCAAGGTCAGCCAAACAAAACACAGTAAGAACAAAAAAGCTCTCCTACAGCATGTTACTGAAATAATATACTGTGACATCTCACAGACAAAGCTTTAAAGAAATCTCTAATTACCACTATCCAAAACCACCAGCTTTTTCACATCACCTACCT